CTCCCTCCTCCCCTCCTTCCTCCTGCGTTCCTCTTTCTATTCTCAAGCTGGCATCCGTGTCTCGCCAATTGACGCAAATTAGGGGAAAGTCGCGTACATCCGCCATTAGAGCGGCGGGCAAAGACCTCCTCCCCCTCCCCCCTCCTCCTCCTCTACTTCTTCTTCTTCTTCGGTGCATCCGTCGAACGCCTGTCTTGCACTTGCAACGCCGGATGCGCCCTAAGTGGTAGCAGCGTTTCGAGGATGCTGCGCTGTGCTTGATGTGCTCTAAATACGCTTGGCCGCTCGATCGAGGCGAATCGATGGGTTTGCCGATCGTATCCAAACCCTTTTATCCCTTGCGAACCGTCACACCGCCCCCTTCGATCGCTTTACCTCCTAATTCGCGGCTCAGAAAGAATATTTTCCCGTGAAACGTAAGTTGAATATCTGAATGGTATATTAATCGAGTGTTTTTTGGAATTCAATTTAATTTAATTTTTATTCGCGACGAAATATTGCGATTTAATTATTGCGATTGATTCGTTTAAACTTCGGATTCTAATGTTAAAATTTATCGAAGCAACAAGGGTAATGGGTAAGTGTATCGTATAGATATAAATTCAAAGGAATAATTTGGAAGACATATATGAGAATAATGAAAAAAATGGTGAGAAATAAAAATGTAAAATTGAGCGATTGAGAGGACGATGAAATTGAAAATCAACGTTCGTTTGTTTAATCTTTGAATCGCGAATCCCTCTTGTTGCACAATTTTTCGAAACGAGGGTCGAATGAATCGTGATCTAACCGCTTCACCAATCCTACAACGACCCACATTCTTTCTTTCATCCGGGAGGCTCGAGTAGAACGCGAGAGTAAACAGAAATTGAATCGTAAAAGGAAGCGTTCGTTGAACTTTCCCCCTCGTGGCGAACGCTGTAACTTCGTCAGCCTGTTTACCTCGTTACCCTCCACCACTTTTGCTTCCAAGAAATCATTTCGCGAGGCGAAATGAACCACCTCGCCCCGCCCCTCCTTCACGCGTTCGCATCAAAACGGTTGCTTTATTCCTCTGCCAACGAGACTCTAATGGGCCGTAAAATCAGCCGTGTCAAACTTTTCGAGCAAACTTATCTTCAACCTCGATACTCGCGCGATAATAATTCCCAACTTCGAACCATTTTGGAAAAAATTAAGAAACAAGTCACGCTTCTGATGTCGAGTAAACGATTCTCGATTAGAGAACGAATATATAGAATATCGTTGGAATATTCCTAAACCGAAAGATTTCTGAAATAATTTCAAGCAATATTTTGCACGAATTTTCATTCAAAACAACATGCCTCGAACAAAGTGAATATTATATTAATTTATTTGTTCATTGTTCGCGATACAATTTTTTATCGATAGAAAAATATTTGTGCAATTTTATGAACGCATTTTCTTCCAAGTATATTGTTTGGATTTGTTCGTGCTCGATCGGTAACCAGTAACCAACCGTCGCAACTCGACTAGGCTAGTATTTTTTGTTAATAACTCGTTAACGAAAATTGTTTGAAATTACCTCGAGAATCTCGAGTTTACCGATATTCCAATATTTTTGGAACACCCTGTATAATGATATATGAATTGAATATTAATTAAATGGAACGTATAATGTTGAACTAATCGATTAATTTCAACATTATTACATTTTGTCTATAAATTATAGAAAAGAGTGAAGATTAATCGAATGATTCGAAAAATAAACATTCAGTTTCAGATTTTCTCCTCGTTAATAGAAATACCACGGAAAAAGATACGAAAGAAAGAGTAAGAGAAAGGAGGAAAAAAAAAAGAAGAGAAAAGATGAAATTACGTGTACCATATCTTGACGCAGTCGTTCCCTCGACCTTTTCCACCAGACGCGGTCTGCGAGGAGAGTTTTTTTACGGTTTTTAAACTGCGATGAAAACATCATGTGCTACCGCTCGCGTTAATTAGACTCCCTTCTAACTCGAGAACAATTTTATGCGCACTCTGGCAAGTTTTTACTCCTTGGAAACGAAGATGAAAGAGAAACTAATGTTGCCCCTGTCTGAAATAGTTGTAGAGAAATAATATAAATAATATATAAAATTTTCACTCATTTCTACAACTTTTTTTTTTTTCAAAGTTTGGATTATTTTATTTTATTCATCGTGGTAATTGCAATTAATCGATTATAAATCACCAATCGTGGGATAAACGTTGTAGAATGACGCAAGAATTTACGAACACGTTTTACACGATTCAAATGCAAATGTTACGCGCAGTATTTATTCGCACACTTCACTCACCTCTTTGAAGTATACAGATAGCTTGGCAATCGTTGTACGTATCAACTTTCTATTTGCAAATATCTGATGGCTCTCTATCGCTGCGCAATATTTCTCGATGGATACCATGTATGGTCGCAGAAGAAAAATTTATTAGACAGATATACATATACACACACAAATGCAAATAATAATTATGATTTACAAAAATCCTATATCGTTAATCACGCTTGTGTTTGGAAAATGCTATATTCTAACCTAATCTAGTTTAACCTGTTCGATAATAGAAAACTGATTAGAATATTAATTTAAAAATGTTATCGAAAAATTTATTCGAAATAGAATAGAATATGTAAAAATATGAAAATCCATATCGTATTCCTCTAACCTTAATAAAAATCGGCATCGAAAGGAGAAAAATCCGTGAATTCCATCGTAACGAGAGATCAATGGTGGCGCCCTTCGGTATATGCGACAATGCACGTGGCGATGGTAATCGTGGTTGCACGTGGGTTGAAAACCGAACAGCGCCCACGCATCGTACATTCTCGTTTGTCCTTCGATTCTCTTGATCGCTGTTTAACGATGGTATTAACACTTGCCATATTCATATATTCGTGTAGTTTTTTTTTTCCTTTTTTTTTTAACGATTCTGTCACTTTACTCTTTCTTTGTTACACTCACTTTCTTCATTTTCTTTATCTATCATTGTCACTTATTCATCCGTCTTTCTTCTCTCGATCGTTAGGCGCGTCTCTCACTCGTCTTTCCATCTTCTTCTCTCATACAGATCTCATCTTCGTTCCTTTCGATTAAGTAATACACTGTGCAATCAACTTACTGGGGAACAGTGTAAATACACAGCACCCCATTGAGAATCCTCTTGAACGATCCTCTCGCTCACTTGACCAACTTTGGCTAACATAAGGTTAGAAGTGATATTTCCTACATATAATACGCAGTAATATGGAATGTTTATGTGACAAAATGGTGATAAAACGAAATAACGAAATAACGGATAACATCTTCGATGTATATTTTTCGCTGTGTAATTTTCTTGGAAGATCAAGAACGTCAGTTTCGGAATTTCAATCGAGAAATTTCGAACGATTTTATAGTATGATAAAGACACACCCTAGGCTTTATGTATATATATATAAAGGCATTCAAAAGGAGCGCTCCCTTTGTCGAAGCCACCCTCACTAGTGCTTCTTGTATCCGCTAGATTCGACCCAGTTCCCGATATTCCGGAACAGGGTGTTCTTCGTTCAGGGAAGCGACTCTCTTCGCCTCTCGAGGTCGAGAGGGTTTAATCCAAGTTATCTCTTCACGAATAATATCGAGATTAATAAAGTCGGTGCACGTAAAATATAATGTTTAAAATTTCGATCGGAAATAATATCTAGAAATCGATTTTTTTTCACTTTCATTTTGCTTTTTCGTTAAAAGTGATTTCCAAAAGTTTGAATATTTCCAAAACTATTTTTTCAAAATTTGAAAATTTTCAAAACCATGTATATTTCCATATACTTTTGAAAATTTGAACAATTTTTACAAATATCTAAAACCATGTATTTTTTTCAAAATTTGAAAAATTTCAAAACCATATTACCATATTACCTTTAAAAATTTGAAAAACCTAAATTTCCAAAACCAAGTATTTTTTTTTTGACAACTTCCAAAATCATGCATTTTTTCAAAATTTGAAAATTTTCAAAACCATATTACCATGTACTTTTAAAAATTTGAAAAATTTAAATTTCCAAAATCAAGTATTTTTTTTTCGACAACTTCCAAAATCATACATTTTTTCAAAATTTGAAAAATTTCAAAACCATATTATCATGTACCTTTAAAAATTTGAAAAACCTGAATTTCCAAAATCAAGTATTTTTTTTCGACAATGATTTTTCCAAAATCATGCATTTTTTTCAAAATTTGAAAATTTATCAAAATTATGTATATTTCGAAATTTGAAAACTTCCAAAAACCATGCATTTTTCCATGTTTTGGAAATTTTTCTCAATTTATTCATCGAACTTCGATTTCTTCTAACGAACAGCGCGTTAATCGCTGAAAGAACTTTTCTCCAGATCCCTTTCACGAGGCAGGTGCAGTCGCGTGTACGCACACGCGAGTGCAGGTGCAGGGATACGAATCAATCGGTGGCGAGACACGAAGGAAAAGTTACACATGATTTCGTTGCGGCTTTAAGCGAGACGAGATAAATGGCCGTTAGCTCGGTGTTTCGCAAACAAGCCGGAAATGCTGGCCTGGCTTTCGACCCGCAAGTTTCCGCCAACACCGTCTAAGGACCAACGCGTATACGTATTCATAGATTCGCCGCAAACTTTCATGTTAAACGAGCGAAAGTTGCATCGTCCTATTTTGTCCAAGATGGAAAAAGTACGATGATTTGAAAAAGATCGTTCAAACGAATTGATAAAACTTCTAACTTCTTTCTAACTTTTTTTTTTGACGAGAAGAAGATTAAATTATTTATTTATATAAGGTTTTGAAATTAAAAGTTTGTCAATTTTAATAAAATATTGATATACGAATTTCTTTGAAAAATTATTTCGAAAATAAAGATGTATTTTTTTTATTTAGTTAATTCAAAACCATTTAAATATTTTTGCATAAAATATCACAAAGTTTAACATAATGTTTATTATGTATTAAATTTTGGTAAAAGATTTATAATTATTGAAAATTGCCAATTTCGTGAATACACTTTCGCATCACTTTACCCTCTTCAGTCGCCACGTATCGTAAATCTGAAGCTCGTGACAATTAATGGACCCGTTAGTCGTGCAGACATCTGGGGCATCTTTGATCCCCTTGTGCGTTTCCTCGAGGGGAGAAGAAGCGAGATTTCCAGAGGCAAACATTCGAACTTCCATAAATAAAGATATTTTGGTAAGTTTTAGTAAATAACAATTTAATCTTCAACTCGTACGATGATGCATCGATTATACGATTGTCCTTTGTCACACTATATTGTTCTTTAAATACTTACGATTTATGAATTTAATTGAATATAATGATCGTCAACAAAAAGTAACGCAATTGCACTGAAGGAATGGAAACATTAATTGTACGTTCTATCTTCGGAAAACTTTAGAAATGAATTATTGAACGCATCGAAAGAAGTGTATTGCGATCCAATAAACAGTTGAAACGCGCAATTAAAGAAGCTGGAACAAGGCTCTGGCAGAAGAAAATGAAATTTCCGAGTAGAAATCCAACATTAAGTAAATGTTTTTATAAAACTCTTCGGCATTCCTGACCAGTTCCATGTTTAATGATCTCTATTTCACAAAAACAAGAAACATAAGCATAATTTATGAGAAATAGAATGTAGAATTAACATACGAAATTATTTGCATAATTTTTTTTTTGCAGGCTAGATAAGAAATTTTTCAATTTTAAAAGACATGACTTTAAATTAAATTAATTAATTAATTTAAATTTAGAATTCGATTACTCTTGTTCAACCAAAAAGAAATTCATACAATAAAATGCAATTTTATTATACTGTTATTTATGCAAGAAAAAAACGAAAGACAAAATTCTACTTTCATGTTCGTTCCATTGATCAATCATTATCTTAATATAAAATCCGTCTAAAATGAAAGTAATTATTACACTATTATATTAATCTACCTAATGTTCCGTTTCATTAAAAAAATCATTGTTAAATCAAAAAGATAATGAGATTTTCAATTTCATAATTATTACTATTTACACGGCAGAACAACGAATTACATTTTCACTTCGTTTCATTAATACGTCATTATCTCGTCATAAAATTCGCCTATAATATCTTCTCGTTCAAAAAAATCGAAAAAACACGTCTCTAAATTATCCATAATTTAATCGCACTTATTTAACCAAAAAGATCTTACCTAACCTAACTTAACCAAAAAATACAATCTCGTAACATCGTTATGCAAAACATGGGAAAATGTATGCAAGAAAAAACTTTACGAACCCTCTATCTTCACCTCGTTTCGTTGATCGATCGTTATCTCGTCGTGAAATTTAAAATTCTGTCTAAAACACCGGCGATCCCTTTTTTTTTTTCGTTCAAAGAAATCGGTGTCAGTCGCCCGGCGGTACACCACGGGCGAAAGAGCGTTTTTAACAAGCGGTGCCACTCGTGGTCGAGCACGAAACAACCGACAGTTTGCTTTAGCTTACCACGAAAATCAAGCATGGCCGGAGGTTAATGGCGCGCGCATAACGCGAATATTTCCGTGACGACATTATCGGTCAAGCGCGCGTTATTCAAATAAGCCTAAGTAATAGTCACGCTTCGATTCGATAATCGCCGCGATTTTATTTCAAAAGTGAGAGCTCATAATCTTGAAATTTCGTGAGAAGCCTTTAGAAGAATTTAGTGTGATGTGTTAATTCGTTCATATTCGATTATCGTGAAACGATCGTGCGAAAAGTGAGCGTTACAATCACGCGATATTTTCTTGTTTGTTGATATATGGAACGGAGTTTATATGAATAATTTTAATTGACCGAATTTTATAAACGCACAAGTATTTTTTTTTCTCTATAATAATAATGAATTTGATATTGAATTTGAAATAATAAATATGAAATTTTATGAATAAATTTTGTAAGTATATACATATATTGTAATAATTAAAAATATGTCAAATGTACATTGTAATATATTGAAGACGATGTACACCGAAAAGATTAAGTAGATACTTAAAATGATACGTCACGTAAATGAAATGATTTAACTGTAGAATATTAAATCGTTGCTGCCTCTATCATATCTCTGTGACGTTCGTTTGTCATAAAGACAATAATGTTCCGAATATGGGACATGAAACGGTATTAAGCGAACGAGAAACGATTCTTTTTTTTTTTTTTTAATTCTACAACTAATTCTAAAACTAGTTCAGTGACGCAAATAAGTGACATTTCTGCGTTCTGATATTGCGAGTGATCGCTGATCGAGAAAAAAAATTCTCTGAGTCGATACATTTAATTACATTATTATTCATAATTATTGAAAATTAATTTGACGATAAAAATAAAAAAAAAATCTTAATTATTTTTTTATTACAATGCAATGAAAATAGATAAGATGAAAAGATTGAACTATTAAATTAAATTCAATTATAAATTGAACAAAATTTTTCTAAACGTCTTATATTTTTAAAAAATAGATTTTCTGTATATTATGATTGTTACTTTTCAACAACTGCACAATATATTGTAATATATTGTAATAATTAAAAATATGCCAAATGTACATTGTAATATATTGAAAAGGAAGTACATATACACCGAAAAGAATGAATAGATATTTAAAATGATATATCACGTAAATGAAATGATTTGACCTTTGCCACGCTAGAATTTCTAAAGTCTTTGTATTCAATCGATTTTGTTTCTGTATATTAATTAATATCTTCGAAGAAAAATGTCCAGACTTATGATATTCTCGTACGAAATGAAATAAAAAATTGATATTTACATCAATATTCATATTCATATTCATATGTTTGACATAGAAACTGAAATTAAAATTAATGTAATAATACATATATGTCTGACTTATAATGCATTAAATTTAATTATGATATACTTTCCTTCTATTTTTACCGTTATCCACCAATCACGTCAGTCGCAAATCGCATATTCATCGATATGTTAAAATATGTAACATTTGACTTTCGAAACGTATAGTAACGATTTACACTTGCACTTTTTAAAAATCATAAGCAATTTAAGAAAATAACATATTCGTAATTCACCTTGTCTCGTAGAACTATGAATCCTAATAAAAATTAAAATTTTTTAAAAATTATTCGAGAAAAAAAATTATTACGAAAAAATCTAATTTATGTTTATCTAAAACTTTAAATGCCTCCATATAGCCATATGAGTGTGGCTACATAATTCGGGTACCGGAACATATATGTGTGTATAGTATATAGAAGTCCACACCGAGTTCTCCCGACTGCTTGTGTTCGTCGATCAATACGGCATGCCTGAAGAACAGAGAGATCAGAGACGAGGAAAAGAGAGAAAGAAAGGGAAATAGAGGGAAGTATTGTTAAACCAGTGGATACCAGCACTAGGACACGACACTTGAAATCGTCGATTTCGAATTCTCTGTGCCAACCACTGCCCCACCAACCGAGATCCACCGGCAAAAATATTCTCTACTTTCGAATGCAACGCCTGTCTGGTTGTAAATCGACCGTTTAGCCCTTTGAATTCGAGAATAAAACCGACAGGTCGCTGGGAATAGCTTTTTCTGCCGCAATAAATGTCAATTTTTCGAATGTCTCAAGGTAAAATTGCTCGAAATACATTGTCAGCTATGAAATGAATTATTTAATATTTTTTTGAAATGCTTGTTCGATTCAAATAATATTATTAATTAAAATTAGCGAATTGTAAAAAATAAAATATCCAAACCTGATTTCATATATTAAATGAATCTAAATCACTACAGGAGATCCCATTCTTCTTTCATGGATTAAACAAAATCGTTTCACCCTAAGTGACATCAGCTGTTTTCTCCTATTTCACTCCCTCCAACCCTGCAGTTGGAGCCAACAAGAAAACGTATAAGGTTATTGACTCGAAGCCTTGCAGATCGAATTCCTAGCTTTTCTTTTTCTTTTCTTCAAGATTCCACTATCCGTTTCCTCATCTCGATTTCAATACTTCTAAGAAGCAGAAAAGACATTGGTAACGACGAAGATTGGCAAAAATGATTAGAAAATGATCCTCTCGTCAATTTAAAAATAATATCACTGTCTAAACACTGCGAATATAACCTTACATTTGTATACAGTTTATAATCTCTTCAAACGTTACAAAATACAATCGTCTTCGCTATAGTGATAAACAATAACTATTCAATAATAAAATTGTGATTTCGATCTCTTCGTCAACTCACTCACCGACAGAACAATAACAATTTCAATCTTTTCATCGATAGATCACTGTATGCTAAACACAAAATTATCGCCATGTTGAGATATATAGGCGATGGTACTGCCTCTAGAGTTCACTGACAAAAGTATCACTATATACGTACCTATTTCAGTGTTCCTTTTTCGATTCAAGAGAGCTTACGTAATCGTATCGATGCAGTACGAAGGTAAGCAGGAAACGGAGGAGAACAAAAAGAAAAAGGGAGGTAACAAACGAGCAGCAAGGGGTAATGGCAAGGAGGTCGAAAAAGAGAAAGAAGAGAGGTTGGCGACGAGCCAAAGTCTAGAGGGCGCCGTCGAGGCGGCTCTCCCAGGAAGGAAAGAGAAGAAATATGGAACAGAAATTAATGCTCCGTCGAATCTGGATCCGTCTTCGTTGCGGATAAACGGAAATGAGCGAAACAGAAGTCGGAAAAGTTTTTTTCTTTCAACTAGCTAGTTACTTTTGCGCGTCAATGTTGCACATTATTAAATATATGTACGAGAAAGAACAGTTTCTTCTATTGTCTATTCATGAAAACTTCCAAGTGTGTCGCGTGCAGTGTAAACGAACAGTTTGGGTATTATACGACTAACTGTGCATTGGATCGTCTCATGGGTTTGTGCGATGTACATGACACTTCAGACAGATATAAACTTCTTACTAAACGTCAAAGATTAAAGATTCTATCCAATTGAAATTGTTTATCTTACAAGAAAACATTTTCGACCTTTACCTTTAAAGGAAGGATCGAAACGAAAAATCGAGGACGCGAGTTCGCTCAACGTAATTATAAGCATCGCTTAAAATACACACGGACCACCGAAGTGACTCAATGGATCCACGCTAGTGTAAAGCCTTATGCTAGAATGATAATTTCTTCTCGCTCTGTTTATAGCGTTCACCGGCCATTATCGATCGATCGATTATTGCGTGATGAACTAAAAACATGCTTCTCTTCCCTTCGATTCAATTATCTTTGAACAACATTTCTCCGCCGCTTTCGAGAATCTGACAGACACAATGCGCGATCAATTTTTCATCGAATGTTCCTCTCTCTCTCTCTCTCTCTCTCTCTCTCTCTCTCTCTCTCTCTCTCTCTCTCTCTCTCTCTTTCTCTCTACTTTTTTCTTTTTTCCTTCCTCGTGACAAAATACAAACGAAAAAAGAAGGGAGAACGGATAGAAAATCGCGATTACACACGCATCAAAGAACGTTGTATTCGAATGCGAAGCGAGAGGGTCGAGGTTGTCTCTTTATTTCATGAAAAGTAACAAAAGGAACGAGAAGAGAGAGAGAGAGAGAGAGAAAGATAATAGGCTGGTCTAATTATGCGAGATTCAAAGAGGATGAGCGCGACGATCGAACAAGCAAATTGAAATATCAAGTTCGAGTTCGGTAATTAGAACAAATACTCGACGTGGCGGTGGATGATGGACGTTAAAGGTTAACGGTCGATTCAAACAAGCGAGTGAGCGATGAAAAGTGCGACGGATTTTGAGAGGAAGAGCGAAAATCCGTGATAGGTGAAAGTAAATGAGTAGTAGAGTAGTGAACGAGAATTCACTTCGGCAGATGAATTCGAAATGAAAGTGCTTCTTCCTTCAGTCACCGTCGTCAATTTCGTTGTCATCTGCGACGAGTAATGTATCGTTTTGTATGTACAGATACGGTATATGCATATATCTAGAATGTTTTGCTTTTTCTTTTTCTTTTTCTTTATTTTTTTTTTTTTAAATTAATTTTTGATTATTGAATTATTTATCATCGGAGAAATGTATCGTTTTGTATGTACAGATACGGTATATGCATATATCTAGAATGTTTTGCTTTTTCTTTTTCTTTTTTTTTTTTTTTAAATTAATTTTTGACTATTTGAATTATTTATCATCGGAGAAATTTCAGTCGATAACACAGTCTGAAAAATATTATCCTCCAATGTTTTTCGAACGACACATATCTAATATTAATCGCGAAGAAAGGATAATAAAACGATGCTCTATCGTTACACAACACACTATCGCGTGATATTTACCATAAATATCGGCCGAGATTATATTTAATCGCGGGATAAAATTAAATTTATATCCCTCCCCTATGTATTTCTGTCGCGTGCAACAAACGAAAGAGATAACAAAAAGGTATTCGAAAGTCGTGGCGTGTGAGACACATAATAACGTGGCGGTTTCAAAGGGCAATAAATCCTCCTCGCTTGTCTCATCGTCAAGGAGACCTAAGAATCGAACGATCGAGTTGGCTCGCTCCCACGATGCCAGCTCGTCATCCCACTGAACTGTCTCGTGAAGCGTAATCTTATAATTATCGACCTTTATTAAAGGTGTACCTTTCATTCTCTCTTTATTCGTCTTTCAAATCAATGTGAAAAATTGCGACAAATTGAAGATCAATTGATATCACGAGTCTTGTTAATTATAATGATAAATAAATATTTTATCAAGAGAATAATACGATAAAAAGATTACCAATCATAGAAACAATAATAATAAAAATAAATATTTTACCACGAATCATAGAAATTATGCCTTGAACAATGATAAATAAATATTTTATCATTAAAAATGTTCCTTTTAAAGAGATTATCACGAATCGTAGAAACTATTGATAAAACAATAATAAATAAATATTTTATCAAGAAATGTAACACAAAAAGAAATTAGCACGAAACTATCGAAAAATAATACCTAGATAAATAAATGCTTTATCGTAAGGATTAGCACGAATCTATGGAAAACTATCGGAAATTTATTAATCGTGAAACGGGACATAGACGTCTCTACGCTCCGTACACGTGTTTATCGGAATGCTCGTTTAACAAAATAGAGAATCGAATGGCCGCTCTTGTTAAATGCAGCAGACCTTAACGATGCCAGCAAGACGAGCGCAACGAGAGAGCGAGGTCGTCGCGGAGTAATTATATCGGGGCTGTCCTCATCGTCCCTAGATCGATGCGTCTTTTTTACCAGAGTAACCGTAACAGACCGGCTGGCGAGATATATTAAAAACGAGAAATATTAATTTTCCAGAAGTTTTTTCCTCGAGCGATTAAGATAAGTTTTAACTTACTCGATGAATTCGACTCGCTCTTTCTCACGATCGATCATCGTGTCTCAGACATTATTATACGACTTAATATTAACTGTTTGATGATTACTATGATGCTAGATCATGTCTCACACAGCAATTAATATCCAGTTTAGTCTACCTGCTAAAATAAACATAGTGAACGATATCTTGTGTCGTACGAGGTTAATTGTTTCAACGCTTCCCGAGAAGTGTATTTTGTTGCGCAATATAATGTGAATTATACCAAATAGAGAAACGAATATTTGAATATCCCGCCAATTTTTCATCTACACGCTTTCTACGTCGTAAATCTACGTATTTTAAAGTATATATTCGCGAATTAATTACGAAAATTAGTTACAAAGTTTGTAAAATAAATACAAAAAATATAAATTTACAAATCGAATATTCCCAATAAACGATACACGTGTTAATCTCTCATTTAACAAGCAGACGAGTAATAATGGTTTAATTGCAAGAAAGAAAATAATATCTCTTTCCGTATCGCGTCAAACAAATTTTTGGTCCCCTATGATGAAAAAAATTACATCGATACGTTCGAAAACGTATCATAACGAGCCTTTTCACGCGAATCGCGAATGGGGGAAAGGCGTGGAAAGGTGGAACAGGCGAAGAATAGGACAAGCGGTATATTCGTAATGCTGATGTATGTTACGATATAACGTTGGCTGAAAGTCGGAGATAAATGTCGAGAGATTGTGAAAGTTTCCCTCTGTTCTCGACCGAGTCGATAAGAGAAATTGAAGTTTTTATTATCGTTCGATATCCATGTGAAATTCCGGATCGAATTGTAGAAGACTCGCGTGTAAAGTACAAATGTCGCAACGTATCTCGCGATTATCTGGCGGCGAGTCTCGGAGGGCGAGTTTCAAGCAATTCAAAAGTTGGCGCGCTACCGCCGATAAATTATAAACGAGGGCTTTGCATATACACGCATACACACACATACATACACAACGGTGACCTTGTTGCACTCGATGTCGTGTTTTATATATCGATCGAAGAACGATTTATCCATGGAAAAGGGAAATATATTGGAAATTGTCGAAAGTTTCGAAATTTTCAATTTTTTTTAAAATTGTTTTAATGTTCTATTTTTTTTGAGAAATCGATTGTCCTCGATCGAAGAAAAACGATTGGAAGCTGATGTAAGTCGAGAAATCGAAATTTTCAAAATTTTTGAAGTTTCGAATGCCCTTAATTTTTTAATATTGAGAAATCAAATATTCTTAATCGAAGAAAAACGATGAAAAAGGAAAAGTGCTATAATGAGTTCTAAATTCGAGAAATCAAAATTTTGAAGTTCTTGAATGTAATTAAGAAATCGAAATAATATAAATTATCGATAGAAAAGTGAAATATATTGAAAATAACGAATTGAAACTTTTTCGAAGAATTTAAAAAATTTTTTTTAATAATAATGATATCCTTAATTTTTATCCCTGAAGAAATTAATTTATCTCGATATTTCTAAAAATCGTTTCGAATTTTATTTTCTGAAAAATCGTATCTTCCAAAACGAAAACGATTTTTCGAACGATTTCGAAATTTTTTCCATGCTTGTGTTTCGATATCAATATATTTGAATAATGAGAAAGTTAGCAATTCTGCCTTCCATGAATCTTTTTCCATAAAATTTCAATGCTCAAATATGCGGAGGATACATATTTAACATTTATATAACCTTGATACAATTTGAATTTAATATTTCCAGTTCGCTAGAACGAATCGAACTTATCGTTTCGTATTGAAAATAAGATTCTTTCTTTTTTTTTTATATCATTTTATGAATATAACGAATGTTTACACGATCTGCTCTTATACTTTACGACGTATCGATAAAACCTTCGATATACCAACTCTATAAAAAGCAATTAAATTAATATTAACTCTTCGAGATATTAATTCTTTCTAATCAATTCTACGATAGCTGATATCTATATATACTTCCGTAATATCATTTTATAAACTTGTATTGTCGATATAAACAAAGTTATCGTAAAACTATTTCAATTTATCCTTCAGTTTAGAATTAAACATCGTAAGTAATATCCAAATATTTCGATCTTTTATTATCGATTGTCACGAGATATATGTATATCGACGGTTTTTTCACGTGAATTAGAAAAAAAATATCAAAGAGAAAATAATCGCGCGAAACTAATCGTTGAAACAAGAGAGACTTTTTGAAAAAATAATTCGAAAAATGCCAAAACCGTTGGAAAAGTGTACACTTTCGAGAGGACGTTCTTACTTTGAAACACGATACGTCATTACATAAAAAGAGCATTTGGTTGGCTCGAGGCAGCTCGAGGCACAAAAAACTACCGTCACGCCTAAAAACAGAATAATACTCGTAAAAAAATTACGAAAAATACACGTTGTAAATTTTGTTATTTATATAATTTTATTTATATAATCGTAAACTGTGTAACTTTTCTCCCCCTTATCAATATAAATATCATCATCGTCAAATCTACTAATTAAAGTGGAACACCTGGTGTATTTACGATATTACACGGAAAAGTGGCAGAGCATGAAATTTTTGAGCTCGATTGGATTCACACCGATCTAACCGATCCTGTCAATTAATATCGCCTCTCTGCATAAAATTCAATTTCCGTCGCGCGCGACCGCAAAGAGCCAAATTGCTTTCCTCGATTGGCCACACCTTTACGGATCCAACCGTTCGAAAATGGAAATGTACCGGGAGGTCGAGAGATCGAAAATAGATTCGAAAAAAAAAAAACATCGTTCGTAGAAGAAAAGATCTAAAAAAAAAACTAAAATTTAATTAAAAACATATCCTACGTTCTTGGTGTTGAAAAAAAAAAAATTAAAACCAGTTGAAAATAAAGCGATTATTAAAATAAAACTTGAATAACATTTAATTTATTCAGTTATTAATTGTATTAATTTCGAACAATTAAATTTTATCAATATATACACAATTTAGATCAGAATTTAATCGAAATAAATTCTCTCATTCCATTCGATTATAACGTTTCGTGGAAAAAGATTCGAAGAATTTTCAAAGAGCGTCTAGGTGAAATTTCAACAAGGGGACATAAGTGCAGACAATGCGTTATTATTCGCAATATCAGTTTTTAAACATTCAAGGTTTCAAAACGTTCAATGTTAAACTGGCGCCGGGTATATATATAGAAGGGAAACAGTTGTTTCTCTCTAGATATCGAGAATCGCATTGTCTCGGTTGTTTTGAACTGTGGGCCGGTCTCGATACGGAAATCGGCGGCACTTCAGACCGACTTAATCGACAAAATGTCAAAGGTGAAGCATATACTATAGTACTCTCGTCGCGCACTTTGATGCGCTTGAGCACGACGCGTTACAACAATATTTCGATAGATGTTAGAGAGGGAATTCGAACGGTCGAAAATGATGTGAAGACTGATGTATTAAAAATAAGGAGCAGCCTTATTAAATTTATTATCCTTTGAAACGTAGCGTTTTAATTAACGCTCTTCGTTCGAAATAACCCGCGAAAAATAATACGTCGCAACGAATTGGTACATATACGTACACGTGTCACTTAGTATATATATATATATATATATATATAAAACAAGAGACAAACGTTTAGAGAAATGATCGATGAAGGATATTATATCTACCCACAAAACCACTTCTAAGTTTGCCTTACTTTTATATTATCCGTTACAATACGTGAGAATGAATTATATTTCCTCTGGAAGGAAATAAAAATATAAAATTAGCTAACTCACGCGTTCTCAACGCATCCATTAGAGTTTCTCTCTCTTTCTCTCTCTCTCCCCTTCTCTTCCCTATAACGCTATCCAAGATCGACCTACATCCAATCCTACACACATCTGATTTTTCACCGCTCTTAATCACCTCACGTGATATTAAAATTGTATCGAACGAAACGAGCATTTAATTATCCACGTTCCCGATTTTCCAAGCTTTCGAAGAGGCTTCGAGGAAAGAAAAAAAAAAAAAAAAAAAGCAAGTAGAACCATACTTCGTAGACAGACGGAAGCCGTGCAAACGATCATCGAGCGATCATCTCCGTGTGATGCGACACGGACGTGTCGCGATCGAAGACTCGAAATCCGGTCGAGGAAGAAGAAAATCAATCGGGAAACGATCGAATTTCGAGAAAGAGGGATAAGAAAAAAAAAAAAAAAACTCGAGCAACATCGACGACGACATTGGCTCGGCTCGGGGAAAACCCTGGTAACTTAAAAAAAGGTTAAGAGGAAGAAAGGGGAGAAGACTCACCTTGACGAAATGCAGGTTCTCCTTGTCAAGGAGGAACTCCATGGATTTGTGTGGCCGTTGGTTGATGGTGGAGGCGGCGTCTTTGTCGCGGGGGCTCCTGTGCGAAGCGGCGACAGGCGACTGGGGTACGTGGAGGGCGTGCTCGGGCCTGGGCCGCGGGGCGGTCGAGGTGTGATTCAGATTGAGCAGGCTCCTGGTCTTTTTGCCGGTGGAGGCGGCGTTCGGGGTCGTGGTCGACGGCACGACGGCCTCGTCGAGGTCGGTCTCGAGCAGGCCGACCGGGCGCTCCTGGGCGGCCTGCATCGTGCGGGCTTTCGCCATCTCGATGGCCGCCGGATTTCCAAGGTCCGTGGCCGCGCGTCGGCGCGACGAACACGCCGCCGCCGTCGCCGCCGACGCGCCCGTCGACGCTCTCGAGCCCAGCGCCCCGAAGCGGGGCGGTTGAGGCGGCAGGGGCGGCTTGCTGGACACTGGCGCCCTCCCGTTCGCGCTGCGGCAAACAAATAATCAGTTTCGTTAATCGTTTCTTTTTTTTTTTTTTTTTTATTTCCTATCTCGCGAGTTTTCCTTCCTTCGTGCAACTGAGTTTTGGAATTTTTTTTCGAGTTGGGAAGAGAGGAGGAGGGAGGGAACGGGGAGGGGAATTTTTTTGACAATTTGACTCGGAAATAAGGTTTGGAAGATGGTGATGATTGGTAAAGAGTTGAAGAAGAATGGTTAGTTGAGGTGAAAATTGATAGAGGGTGCTCGATGTATGGGAGTGTTTTTGATGATAAATGATGATAAAGAGTTGATAAAAATAGATTTGGATTAGATATAGAAAGATTTCGTTTTGAAGAAGGATTTGGAAAGTGATTGAAATTATTAGAGGAACGTGTCAATAATTATAATTTGGATGATGAGTTGGTTATTAAAAAGTTGAAGAAGAGTTATATATATAGAATATAGGGTGAGAGTTGTGATAAAGATCGATAGTAATAAGTTTGGAATGGAAGGGGTTTGATTTAATTAGAAAGTTGTTGGATCGGTAAGAATTTGAATTTGAAAAAAAATCGTGCGAGTGTAATTTTCGTTTGGTTGCATTAGATATCTTTGATATGAAAGTTAACGTCATATTACAAAATAATAAATTTATTTTTTTCTAATTTGCGATAAGATTGCTATCTAGTAGATTGAACATAACGTTATGTAATTGTTAAAACGTTTGTAATATTCCGACATTTTTTTGTAAAATTGATAAGAGAAATTATCGAACTAATGACGAAAGTCGCTTCGAAAATTTAAAAAACTTAAATTCATCTTCTATCTATTTAAATATCATTATCTTAATTTGTTTCAAACTATGTATATTATATAAATTATTCAAACGTTTTCCAATGACTTCGATTGGTTATAGTTATTTGCCAAAAGATAACGTAGAATTTCTTCAATTCGCAATTTAATGGAATCATTTAGAGCTCGTATAACTTGAAATTATGGTTATATTAATTTTATATTAATAAATGCAATTTTCGACGCGTGAAATCACTGAAAAAAGAGAAATTTCTCTTCCAGAAAAGAATGTGAAAACGGTTAATCTCAAATATGATTTTATGAGTTATTTGCCTTGGCAATTTAAATTCATTGATTTTTAATTTATATAATTTATCTTATCAAAATTACTAATCAATATGTAATTACATCCACAAGTGTACGATATTTAAGATCGTTAAAAAATATCTAAACTATAATTTAGATAAAATAACTATAAAGAAAAACCTTGAATAATTTAAATGTAACAAAACAAAGTGATAATTTTAACTTTTAATACATTAACACGTTCACTTCGATTCAAATTTTCATTCCCTACGTAATATACCAACAAATAATTTCAAAATAAACTTAAAACTAATACGATTTCTGCTTTAAAAAAACAAAAATAAAAAAAAGAGAATACTTATATAAAGCTATATATATATATATATATCCAACATTCGATTTAAATTCATCAATCGATTCAAGGAGCAACTTTTAACTACTCAATACATCAACAAATAACTTAATTCCAAAACCACAAATCTACGATCGATAATTTCCATTCTATAAAAATAAAGAAAACTCAAACCTACACAAATCCAAGATCCAACATTTTTCAATCTAAATCGACTTCGATCGATCCAAGCACTTTTAATCACTCGACACAGATCCTCGAGCAAGCGTCGCTAAACCGTCGATTTTCAAAGTATCAAAAGACTTCGATGGCGAACGCCAAAGTCACGGTAGACTGATCTCGCGGCAACTTCCCAAAGAGAAACGGGCAAAACTAGCGGCGAACCGAGTCGAAACGCCTGCAGCATCGTCTACCGATGCTTTGGAAAACGAAACACGAGGATAATTGGCCCGAAAGCGCGTTTCGTTGAGCCGATATTACCACATATATACGTGTTTATGTACACAATACTTTCCCGCCACTTCTAGCACATTCTCCGCTTTGAAGTTCACCGAGCTATGCGCACACGCGTTCCTTCATTTCTCTCAAGAGCGCGCTGCGAATCCGTAGCAGCTTTCACGCGATTCGATCATCAATCACGCGGCTCCCGTTACAAGACGAAGAAAACGCGGAAGCTAGCTACGATTCTATCCAACCACTCGTCTCGACTGAACAATCATGGACCACTCTTGGAACTGTGTTTAAGAATGTTTTTGCCATTATGTATATTATTTTCTTACCATTATGAATCGAGTACCGTTTCGTTGGTTTTTCAGTGTGACCGTTTAATGGGAATTTATGGGAAATTGTTGTGGTTGTTTTAATATTCTGAATGTGTGAAAAGTTTGCATGGAGATTGCGACACGTACAAAGTGTTAATATATTCGTTATCGCCATTTAAAGAAGAAATACTTTGATTATGTCGATTTTATAGTATAATAAAAAATATGAGAATGAGCAAATCATTCTTTTTAATATACGTATTAATTATCTTCGTTTTGAATAGAACAAAATTTAAAAATTAATAATCAATGCTCGTTGAAGAATATTATACTCTTTGTATCGATAAAACTAAAAATCGAAACAAATAAAAATGTTGATCCAGACTTACTTGTTGAATTATAAGTGAACTGCGTGTAGATATATAAAAAACACAAAATACTCAAAACATAGTAGACATTATGATGTTTGAGGAATAAAGAAAATCTTTATTCAAGCTATCTTTTTTTTAATCATGTTCATAAAAGTTTAATTTTACATAAAAAAGTCCAGTTATAATTAAGATTTACGTTAGATAAACTAGGAAATAGAGTTATCTTATTCTTTCTGCGTTTCGCTTCGTTTAACGCAAACTTCAATTATTTATAACTTAATAAATATGTCTCGCTCGACATTTTTATACATTAATTTTTATATTCGTTATAATCTTTGTAAAATCGATTCTTCAAAAATATTATACGAATATATTAACATGTTTTGAAATGTTACAAATTTTTTACTTATTTATTCAATAATTATAAGTTTTAATCATTTCGTGTCGACTCATCGTTCGTTATTTATAGAAATTATTTTTTTTATTTAATTCGATTAATTAAAAAAATAATTTTATACAAACTCTTGCTTAGATATGCGATCTCGTGCGCTGCTGGCTCTATACTGAACTTATTAATAATATTGACTCGAGGAACATACGTACGAGGAACATACGTATGTAAACATTACGCGCTATAGGAAAGTATACGTAAACTCGACTGTAACTTCTTTGTTTCATCGATATACTCGTCGCGTAAAAATTTAATTTTCACTCGTCATATATTAATTCCCTTTAATTAATTATAATTTAAATCACGATGAGGATATATTCGAATTTTTGAGATAATAAATCATGCAAGGGATAAAATATACGTAAAAAAATACGATATTATACGAAAGTGAAATCAGTATTCATTTATTGAGCTATTACGTTTATCGATATCTATTTTCTAATCGTTATTTGCTATTGGCTTGAATGTGAATTATAAGAGCGCTTATTCATCGAAGCCTATTTTATCGTATCATTAATCGTGGTGGGAAACGATATGGAGAAAGATAAATCGCAGACTGAACTCTCTTTCATTCTACAAGAGATTATCAGATCGAACATTTTTCCACCTCTGATCCACCCTTTTACACAAAAAGAAATAAACGAAAGATAAATAATACGTATCTTGCGTTTATCGTATCTTGCTATTATCTCATTTTTCAAAAAATTCACAATAATAGTATTTTTCTACATTTTATCCCTTGTATGATTTATTATCTCAAAAATTCGAATATATCGTTATATATCGCTCGAGTTTTAAAAGTTTTCGATCCAAATGATCATTCTTCACGGATCGTGTAGCAATTTAAAAAGATAAAGCAATCCTTAAAAGTTGAATTAATAATATGAAAGGATACCAAAAATTTTTAAATTATTTTTCTTTATTTTAAAAACCGTTTTTCGTTTTCGTGAAAAAAAAAAAAACAAATCAGCATAATATTCGAGTTCAACGAGAAAGCAGAAACCGAAACGATAAATTTGAAGAATTCATAAATTAACATTTAATTTTTAATTTGTTTCCATTCTGTTTGACGAATCGTTTCGAAAGCATTCCAATGCAAATGGCTGAAAGAAGGACGCGGTGCGTGCGCACGGAGAAAGACGATTCGACTTTTCCTTCGCAGACAGAAAAGGAACAAGGTGCAGAGGAACGATTGAGAGCAATTGAGGCGATCGTTCGATTTGGATCTGTCTGAGTTTTAAGCACCCACTCCATTCTGCGCGACCAACCGCAGACGTTCGTTCCAATGCTTGAGTACGCACTTAAACGTCTGAATCTTCGTCTGCAAAAATACTACGATTCTTTCCAGGGAAAGTGACCTCCGTGATCTTGGACAAAGTGATCATAAGGGATCTTGGACAAACATGTTTCTGTTATCCCTTCTTTAATTGATTCAACGTTGGTACGTACCATGTTTGAAATTAATCGTAACTCGTATGTATATATATATATATAGTTCTTCAACGAACATATAATAATTATTATACGTTCTACTTTTTTTTCCTTCTAATGTTAATTCTACTCACACGATTATTATTGAATATTGTAAGCGAATTTAATTTAATATTTTAAATGGATAAAACAATATATATATCGTTCTTCAACGAACATATAATAATTATTACATTTTTTTTCTTCTTCTAATGTTAATTCTACTCACACGATTATTATTGAATATTGTAAGCGAATTTAATTTAATATTTTAAATGGATAAAACAATATATATATCGTTCTTCAACGAACATATAATAATTATTACATTTTTTTTCTTCTTGTATTAATTCTACTCACACGATTATTATTGAATATTGTAAGCGAATTTAATTTAATATTTTAAATGGATAAAACAATATATATATATATATATATATATGATTATTATACGTTCTTTTTTTCTTCTAATGTTAATTCTACTCACACGATTATTATTGAATATTGTAAGCGAATTTAATTTAATATTTTAAATGGATAAAACAATATATATATAATTATTATACGTTCTTTTTTTCTTCTAATGTTAATTCTACTCACACGATTATTATTGAATATTTTAAATAGATAAAACAATATATATATATATAATTATTATACGTTCTTTTTTTCTTCTAATGTTAATTCTACTCACACGATAATTATTGAATATTGTAAGGGAATTTAACTTAATATTTTAAGTGGATAAAACAAACGATAGAAATTTATTTATTTATCAAATTATTTATTTATCAAAAAATCAGAAGAGAAAACGTGTAAATCTACGTGATGAAATTATTGAAATTTTGTAATTCTTGAACGAACGTGTGATAATTATTATTATTTTTTTTTAATATTAATTTTACTCACACGATAATTATTGAATATTATAAGCGAATTTAACTTAATATTTTAAATAGATAATTTATTTTAAATAAATAAAAGATTAAAAAATAAATTTATTTTAAATAAAATAAAAGACGTGTATACAAGTAAATCTACGTGATAAAATTATTGAAATTTTGTTCTCGAATGAACATTTCTAATATTAATTCTATTCACACAATAATTGAATAATGTAAATGAATTTAACTTAATATTTTAAATGGATAAAAGGATAGGAATTTATCAAAAAAATCAGAAAAGAAGATATATATATACAGATAAATTTACGTGATGAAATTACTGAAATTTTGTTTTCGAACGAACAATGTGTGATAATTATTACACTTTTAATATTAATTCTATTCACGTGATAATTGAATAATGTAAATAAATTTAATTTAATATTTTAAGTGGATAAAATAAACGATAGGAATTTATCAAAAAATCAGAAGAGAAGACATGTATATAGGTAAATTTACGTGATGAAATTACTGAAATTTTGTAATTCTCGAATGAATATGATGTGATAATAATTTTTTTTTTTTAGTAATGGATAAAATAAACGAATTTATTAAAAAAATCAGAAGAGGAGATATGTTTACATGTAAATCAGATATACGTGATGAAATTACTGAAATTTTGCGAATATATTACATATAGTTTGATATAGTGACTCGAAGGATACAATCACAGGAACACGAAATAAAAGGAATGTCGCGAGCGTCATGTTGACGAGAAAGAAACAAGGATTATGCGGATAACACACATAACATCGGTCGACGATGCAGCTTCGTTCTGGTCGTGAGATCATATTTATAAATCGAGTCGCGGAACGATGATGGAGAATCTTTGAATATCTCTTCTCTAAAATTAGGAGGATGGTCGAGGAACGGTTTCGAAATTCTCGCGGCCCATTTCGAGGTCTGGAAATATCACGAGAACGGGAATGAAAAACACATCACGAGGGCACGAAATTTCTAATTTCTTACTACTGAGAAGATTCGACGAAATCGACGAGAAAATTTGGAAAATATTTCATGAAAATGGACGACGAAGAGAGAAACCTTTTTTAAAGGCAAAAACAATTTCGAATTCCGGATGAATATTGGAAAAATTTATATTCTCGTAGACGAGAACGATCGAGAAGAAGAAAGTATACGGTTCTTTGAGTGGGATTAATTTAAAAGGAGATAAAATTTGCGTAAGAAATAGGTTATAATTAAACAGTAACTGTTATTCAATTCTATTGTTGTCAATTGCTGCATGCAATTCTTGCATCTATTAATATTTTATTGGAAAATTGCTAATATTAACTATTACTCATAACATTAACTATAAAGAACCTTTATTATTGCTTGCAAAAATATATCTGTAGATATATTATTCCGATTGCATAATAACGTATAATAAAACAGGAATAATTTTTGCAATTTAACGATCATTCAATTTTCTCGTATCTTCTTAGAGCGTAGATAGTAAGCTTTCTTCCTCATAAATTTTAATCAATAAAATTATATTTGAATTAGAAATAAAATTATTAATTATTAATATTATTGTTTACAGTAAATTTCTTTCAAACCGTTTATACCGTTCCTGATGTTACACCGATGATTTCTAATCCATCTATCTTATCTACACCTCTGTTGTTTACATATAAATGATCAGAAAAATAAACTTATGAAACCAATAAACACTCGCCATTTATAAACGAGCCACGCACGATTGGAAAACACTCGTTCAACTCACTTTTTTACCATTTCGAAACGATATCATGGATATCGACGTCTAATAATAAGAAAAAAATTTTGAATTTTAAAAAATTGAGAGAGAGAGAGAGAGAGAGAGAGAGAGAGAGAGAGAGAGAGAGAGAGAGAGAGAAACACCTATAAATTCTAGTCAGACAAAATTATCCTATTCAATTATAATACTCGCAGTGACTAACTATGGCAATGAATAATCAAGTTTCGATATTAACATATATACGTAACGAGCAGAATAACACGAATACCGTAAGTACGCAATTAAACGTGATCCTCTTATTGTTTTATTATTCGCATGAATTTCCCTCTTCTATCTCTCTCGAATCATCGCCACGAGGCCAACAATTTTTCAATCAATCATCGTCATCGTCTTGTACATCATCTTCCTCGAGAGAATATTTTTCCCCCTTCGCGGGGAAATATCGAGTATCAATGCTGATCATCCTCTCAAATCGGATCGGCGGAGGGACAAGAAGCGAATTATATTTATGCCTTGCACAGCCGTGCCGCTAACTCGAGGTATGCGCTCGCCAACACACACGTATACGGTTAAATATACGCCTGTATAGATGTAGGTGTAACACATCGCGAACATAACCTTATTAATCTTGTTCCATTCCACAGCCAAGTCCGGAAGTCGTTCGAGGTGGTCCGAGAAGAACATCGCCGTCCGTCGTCGCTCGCCTGAATTCTTTTGCCCGAGTATTTTTGCCTCGTACTTGTTGCCTATCCACGTAAAAGAAAGAAAGGGTCGATGTTTTCATCTATTTTCCTTTCTTTCTTTCCTTCCTTCCTTCCTTCCTTTTTTATCTTTCTTTCTTTCTCTCTTCCTCCCTTCCTTTCTCCCTTTCTTCCTTCCTTCTTTTCTTCCTTATCTTTCTTTATATTTTATTACTTACTTTGTTATTTCCAGTTTTTTGGTCGATTAACGATATTTTTACGCATGAGCGGATCCACCAACACATGACAAAATTGTATAGGAGTTTGTGAGATATATAAATTTTCGTTATGTGTACGTATTTATTACAATAAATTGAATCGCTAAGAGGGAATATTTTCTATTTATATTATATTTGTGTGAGAGAATTTGTGTGCGTGAAAATATATTTTCTTTTTTATAAAAGTGAGGTAAGACATTGCCAAGAAAATGTTTCGTACAAACGTATCGTGGAGATGACGCATGTTATTGAGCATTGTCGCTCGCAGACAATCACTGGCAACAAAAGTGAACGTGCAATTTATGTTTCCATTTTTCTTTTTTGGAAAAAAAATTACGTTTTCCTGATGATTTTTGAATATATAAACCGATTAAATAATATTTATTTAAAACGATTTCAAAATTTATACTTTCAATCCTCACGATCATGGTTTTATATTATTTTTGTATTTTGTATTAAAGGCACCACGTTTCTTGGTCGATGATTCGAAACTTTATTTTAGCTACTCAACGATAATATACGAGTATATGCACGTTCAAAGAAGAACACGATTTAAAAAAACACGGTAAAAGAAAAAAAAAAAAAAAAAGAAAGAGTGATCTAAAATCAAAAGCGGAGGAGGCACAAAGGAGTGGATTCGGCGAAATTTCACGAATGTCCACAAAAACTAAAGCGGAGGGGGATTGATTACGCCTCTCGTAATTCCAAGAGGCTATGGTTCGAGAGATAAGATCGGGAGTAAACATCATCCAGATGGAGAGCATCGTGAAGAATTCGTTTCCTAAAATGCGAAGTGAGTAGACCGCTTGTCCGATCGTCGAACTATCAAGGAAATGAATCATTAAATGAGCAAGGGTCGTGGCAGAGATTAAGATTAATTGCCGGAGATGTCAAATCGAATCCCGTGATGATCCATGAATATGAAGGATGATCCATAATTATGGTATCACGAGGAAGAGGCATGGTTGAAACGTGGAAATATTTGGAATAATTATAGATTAGAAATAATATTTATCTCGAGATAAAAAAAAAAAAAAAAAGATTTTAGAAATTATTCGTGAAAAGAGTGATTCATAATTGTGGCGTTGTGAGAGAGGAAAGAAATTTAGAAAAATTTAGAATAATTGTAAATTATAATAATATTTATCTCGAGATAAAAATTGTATTATGTAGAAAGTAGAAGTTTATCTATCCATAAATATAAAGAAATATCTATAAAGAGATTTAGAAAAATTTAGAATAGTTATATAGATTTGAAATAATATTTATTATCTCGAGATAAAAAAAAAAGAAAAAGTATTTTAGTAGAAAGTACTTTTATCTATATATACTTTTAATCTATTATTGAAATTATCTGAAATTATCTATAAATGATAGATTGTTCTGTTGCAGAGATAAAGAAGAATGAATTGATTTTATTTGCGACTATATTGTTGAAATTTCTTAATACGAGTCGCGAATCCATATATATTTCCAATATATAAATATTTACGCAAAGTGTTTTTAAGTATGACTAAAAAATAAAAAAAAAAAAAAAATGATTTAACTAAAAAATTTTTTAAGATGCTTAATACAGGCTTCAACTATTCCGTCTAACATCAATCGTCCTAGTTTCATAAAGCTAGAAGACTTGTTATGACTTCGTGACATTATGATATTATGCCCCTGTTCTGTCATCGGATGACAACAGACTTAACACAGCCTGCTTTCAAACGTAAATACGTTATTCGATTTGATCGAATGACTCACGCGGTCTATCTCTCATCTTATCGCCAAGTCTATATTTCTAAAATTTCGTAGACACCCCCCTTCCAACCTTCATAAATTCATTCTTTCAAAAATACATTCATTTGTGAATGTATTTCTACGTATAATACTCTTTATCTATACGATGTTGATATATCCGTGAGACCTTTCGATGTCTAAGAAATCTAAACAAACACATATACGAAAATATCGCTTGAAACTTACTTATTAAGTTTATAAGCATAAATTGAAGTTTACGTTAATATTTATCTCTCGTTTCGATTATTATAATCCATAAAACTGACCTCTAAAGAGGTTATTTTTACACAAATATATCAACACTCTGTGTATTTTTAATTAATCAACAAAGCCTATTTTTTTTTCAACAATCATTAGACAAATGAAAATCCTGTTGGAAAAACAATTTTATAATTAACAACGCATTCCTAAACATCCGCCGTGTTCTCTGAAATACCTTCGAACGATCACGTTCCCACATGCCGATCGAGTTTCCACAGCGGGAAGCGGTTCGTTGGAAGAAGAGGGATACGATAAAGGTTAAACGACTCCGTTTGCCGTTATACACCGAATACAATTAGGTCAAATTACGTCAAAATGAGACGGAATGGGGCGAGAGTGAAATTCGATTAAGAGCGAGGTAGGGACGAATCGCATAGGGGCCGATGATCGGAATGTAAGCGCGAACGAGAGTGAAATCCTATCGATCGAACGAATCGAGAAGCCTGATTAGAGTGAAATTAGATGCGACACACCGCCGAGAAGATGGACGATAAACGACGAACGTCGTAAATGGCACACGGAATTAACGTCTCGTAGCGGGACGTCTCGTCGAAAGGATTAAGCGAGACGTAGCTGGAATTAAATGGAAAAGGATCGAGAGATGTTAAAATGAAAAAAAGGGGGAGGGAGGCAAGAAATTTTCGAAAAATTTTACGAAAAGCGAGAGCAAGTTCGGTTGAAAAGATTGTATTTGTTGCGAATCGTTGTGGTACTATTGTAATTTTATCATTCATTATCGCAGTTGTGCGATAAAGAAATGTTTAAAAAAAATCGGGAGAGGAGTGGGTGAAAGAGCGTGTTATTCTCCGGCAGCTGTTCAATTGTGACCGCCATTACGAAAGCCTCCTCCGTCGGTATCGCTGACCTCGTTATTGTTGTCTATTTAGCGGGGAAACCTACCACGGAAACGAATTCGTGGGACGTTTATAACGTATATTCAGAGAGAATATATTTTCACAATCAAATAAACTATTCGAATACGAATTTTAATCACACTTGCATAATCGATCCGTAAATAAATCAGAATATTCATATATATATATGTAGAAAACATATATAAAATTTCACGATGCAGAAATAGACTTTGTAAGACGATTATTCATTCAACATAGGTAATGAAAATCCGACTGATCAGTGAACGTGTTAAACGCATAAGGCATTGCAAGTATAACGTAACTATAATCATTGGTAACTATCAACGATACGGCCAAGTAGAAACTGAAGATCGAGGCGTATAAGGTTATGTATATGTATGTATAGATTCCTTTCATAATCCGCTAATTATGTAAGACATATTACGTTATAGGCTTTCGAGCAACGTCTGCGCGATTTTGCACCCGAGGTTAGATTACACACCACACCGATATAACCGCACACGCGTATCGCGAATTCTAGGTTTATTGTTCCTCGCGTGCGAAAAATATCTTCGCGAAACATTCGTCCGTTGTCTTCTCGTACAATATACCGAACGAAACGTTCAAATAAACGACAATGGAAAAGCTAAATGGTGTCGACATATTTTCCATCGCGCGGAAAGATAAATGTTTACGTGCGTCGAAGCCATAGAAGGCGGCACAAACCGTGATTCATACCGGGCTCTATATGTCCGCGCGAAATCGTGTAAACAATTGGTGAGGTCAAAGTCAACGTCGATCGACGCGCAACACTTTATTCTTCGATGTAGGGGACGAAGTTTCTCTTCTCGTCGATCACAAATCTTGTCGGTTACAAATGAAGAAGAAAAAAAAGATAAAAAGAAAAGAAAAGGTATTCGTTTCGCATTACGATATAAAATGTTTTACTCGTAAAAAAATATATTACTCGTAAAAACACCACGTGGCTGTTCCATACAAAATATCACATCGATCGAACACTCACCTAATATTGGAGGTACTTCGTTGAACGTCGGCGACAGTTCTGCCATTCCCGGTGTCCTCGGCTCTACTCTCGGCAACAACGTTCTGTTGTTGTTGTTGTTGATCCTGCTTTTGCCTCTCCTCCTCCGGAGGATGTAACGGAATGATGATATAATCCGGCTCCTTCTTAACCTTCTCCTCGCCGGTCACCTTCGCGCGATTCACTTGGCCGATCGTATCACTCTTTTTTTGCACCTCGGACCGCGGCACTTTCGATCTACCACTGAACCGTAGCCTCGAGAAACGTTGAAGAAATCCACCCAATCCACCCTTTTTCCTCTCCTCCTTCACGGTGGTCGCGGACGACGCGTCGACGACCATGTTTCGTTGAAATCTTGCCGCGGACGTGTCGTTGTTCCCGATGGTTGGCCCAACGATGACGGGTGATGCCGGCGTGACGAACAGCCGCGGTTTCGCGTTGGTGGTGGTTGCGGTGGTGGTGGTGGTCGTGGTGGCCGACATAACAGTCGCCGCGTGGCCCTCCTCCTCGTTGTCGTCGTCGTTGTCGTTTACCCTAACCGGCGCAGTTGTTGCCGCCGCGTTCTCCTCGTGACGTTTGTCGCGATCACCGCGATGATTCGTATCAACTGCCACGGCCACCGCTGGATTCCCACTCCGTTCACCATCGGGTTCCAGGCCGTCGCTGTTGCTGCTACCGCCTGGTGGGGGGCCAACGCCAACACCGTGGACACCGTGCTGCTGCTCGTGTCCCCTCGCTTCTTCCGCTCCCTCCTTCTCCCTCTCTCGCTCTCTCTTCTTCCTCTTCTTCTCCTCCTCGTTTTCCTCTTCCCTCTTCGTAACCTTCTCCACGGTAGCCTCCTTCTCCTGCTTTTCCACTATGACCCTCCACAGCAATTCTCCACTACCGTTCCTACCGTTGCAAGCCGACGACGATAGGACAGTGGTAGGTAACGTCGAAGGACTCTCGTTTTTATCCTCGCTACTCGGATCGTCGATCGGTCGATGATCCTCCTCCTCCTCCTCCTCCTCCTCTTTCTCCTTCTCCCGTTGGCCCTCCCGTTGCTGCAACCGCACGATTTTTTCCGGATAGAAATCACCGATGAACGATCTCTTCGAACAACTGCTCGCCTCGACAACCGTCACCGCGTCGCGTTCGGCGTCGGTGGTGTCGGTGATGGTGGTGTAGCAGTCCTTGGAAACCGCACTCGAAACCGCGGCCTCGTTACAAGCGTTCGAACAAACGCGTTCCAGGGTTGAGAATGATCGGTAAGGAATCGTCTCGTTTGAGCTCGTTCCCTCGGCCTGCGACGCGCTCCCCTCCACGCTGGAAGTTCCTATTATGGGTTTGGTCTCCAAGCAGGGTAAATCTACCTCGTCGTCTACTAGGGCACGGGCACTAGGATCGTCTCCATAGATTGAAAATGGATCCGAGTTTTTTTTTATCTGGCTCAAAAGCGTCCCCTCCTCCTCCTCCTCCTCCTCCTCTACCTCCTTCTCCTTCTGCCTCTCCCCGAGAAGCCGTTGGCCAAGCTCGTTGATCGGGATCCTGGTGAACGGGGCCGTCGAGAATTGAGTCGAGATATTCTCCGTCGATTTGGAATACGGCCTCGTGTCCATGTACGACGAGCGTTCCTCGTTGCGATAAGCCGCGGTCAGATTGGACGTGGAGCTGCTGCTCATCTGTTGCACCATGTCCGAGGCCCTGAGCCTGAGCGACGATTTGCCGGCGAGTATCGGCTCCTCGAGCTCGTCGCACGCGTCCATCCGTTGGAAAGCACCTCTGCACGATTGGAGAGCTTTGATGTAGTCGCACTGTTGGGCAAGCTCGTAACTCGCGTTGTTCAACACTTTACGTTTACGCCCCACGCTTCTCCCCCCCGCTTTCTCACCCTCGTTCCCGATTTCCCTCCGCCACTTGCCCGACCGAAAATTCCTCTCGTCTATCTCGAACTGCTGGGCCAGCTCGTAGCTCGCGTTGTTCTTCACCTTCCATGGCCGTTGCTTTCCGGACGGCGTTCTCTCAACCGTCGGCCCTCCGTCGATACCGTCGCTCGCCGCGTTACCGTTCGAGCTACCCTCCTCGAATTGCGAGCGTTTCAACTGCTCGATCGCCCCCATACCGTCCAACGCACGATCCTGAGTTTTCACCGTCGAAGTGACACGTTTCCTCGAGCAATGCTCCCCTCCCACGCACTCCTCCTCGACCATCCTCCCGTCCAGGATCGCGTTGTACGACGATCCCTGTTGGGTCCTCACCGAGCTCGAACATTTCTTCCTCTTCGCCTCCTCCTCCTCTTCTTCCAAACTCTTCCTCGATTGCCTCTTCTCGCCGCTCTGCACGCCGCTGTCGCTACTGCTCACTTCCGCCATTTCGTCGGGCTCGCGTGGAACACTCGAAGTATCGCTCACTGGAGAGGACGTATCATCGTCTCGCGTCGCCTCGACGCCGCACAGGTTCAAATCAACGGGGACGCTGGCTACCCTCGTGTAATTCTCGAACAGATTCGAGGAAATTGTGGCGAAGTGGTTCGAGGTGGGGAAGAAGGAGCGTGACGATGGCACGCGTGCAGACTCGTCGACGGTGGTTAGGAGACTGGGCGCGCTTTGAGATTTATCCGTGAATCTAAAATTAAAACAGTCCTCGTTGCTCCACCCTTGACGCTGGTGCTGCTGCTCGTGCTGCTCGTAACCGTGCAACTGCTGCTGCTCGTGCTGGTTGTGCTGGGTCTGGTAATGATGATGATGATGATGAAGAGGAAGATGATGGTGGTGATGATGATGATGATGATGATAATGATCGGCGACCATGTTGTTGCGTACGTGCGCCATATTGCCCGCTATATTTAACCTGGTCTGCAACAGACGGAACGAACTCGACACGCCAGCCTGGCCCGACTTCAGATCCAACAGGGCGTCCCTCTTCGACTCGACGCCGATCTCTCGAAGGTCGATCGTGTTCCTGTAATCCAGGGACGTGGCGTAGTTGCAATCCCCGAACACCATCAGTCGGTCCTCGAGCTCGACCGTGCCTGGCCGATTGTCCTTCGACGCGCGAGGAGCGCAACGCTCCTCGAGGTCCTCCTCCACTTCGTCGTCTTCGTCGTCGTCGTTGTCCTCGTATTCGTCGTCCTCGTGCCAAAAATCCCTGAATTCGATCGAAAGAGAAAATTTTTCCGATGGAGCATGTTGAATTAGGAAATTTATATAGATAATGATATAAATTTCGAAACAAGGTTAAAACAAGGTTACACGAGTAAATATTTTTATTGCGAGGAAAATAATTTTGAGGAAAAGAATGAAGGGGGTTTGTTTTTCGGAATATTGTTTTATAGATAGAAATTTTGAAGGAATAAATATTTTTATTGCGAGGAAAATAATTTTGAAAATAAGGAAATGAAGTTTCGAAATATTTAAAATTTGTTTTCTTTTATAGTTAAATTTTAAAACGAGAAAATTTGGAATATTGTTTTATAGATAAATTTTAAAACAAGATTCGATACACGAATAAATATTTTTATTGCGAGGAAAATAATTTTGAAAAAAAGGAAATGAAATTTCGAAATATTTAAAATTTTTTTTCTTTTATAGATAAATTTTAAAACGAGAAGATTCAGAATATTGTTTTATAGAATATTGTTTTAATTTTGAAATAAGATTCGATACAGGAATAAATATTTTTATTGCGAGGAAAAAATTTTGAAAAGAAGGAAATAAAGTTTCGAAATATTTAAAATTTGTTTTCTTTTTCTAAATAAATTTTAAAACGAGAAGATTTGGAATATTGTTTTATAGATAAATTTTGAAATAAGATTTGATACAGGAATAAATATTTTTATTGCGAGGAAAATAATTTTGAAAAGAAGGAAATAAAGTTTCGAAATATTTAAAATTTGTTTTCTTTTTCTAGATAAATTTTAAAACAAAATTCGATACAAGAATAAATATTTTTATTGCAAGGAAAATAATTTTGAAGAGAAGGAAATGAAGTTTCGAAATATTTAAAATTTTTTTTCTTTTATAGATAAATTTTAAAACGAGAAGATTTGGAATATTGTTTTATAGATAAATTTTGAAACAAGATTCGATACAGGAATAAATATTTTTATTGCAAGGAAAATAATTTTGAAGGGAAGGAAATGAAGTTTCGAAATATTTAAAATTTGTTTTCTTTTCCTAGATAAATTTTAAAACAAGATTCGATACACGAGTAAATATTTTTATTGCAAGGAAAATAATTTTGAAGAGAGGGGAATGAAGTTTCGAAATATTTAAAATTTTCTTTTTTTACATAGATAAATTTTGAAACAGGTTACAAAAAGATTCGATACACGAATAGCTATTTTTATTGCGAGGAAAATAATGAAAATGTTAAAATTTTCTTTTTATACAGATAAATTTCAAAACAAGATTTTTTAAATACAGATGTCGAAATATTTATTTCTCTAAAGATCGTCACCTTCTTGCATCTTCGAAAAATCGAAAAATGTCGCGCACGGGATTCGAGTCTTCCACGAAATTAAAAGTCAAGGAGGTCTATTCAGGGTCGTGATTGCGGTAACTTGGCCAGAGAACGAGGGTCATGTAGCAAGCTCTCGTTGCCAAAGAAAACTTATGATCCTCCCCCTCCTCCCCCCCCTCTGATAATCGTACCTTTGTTTATCCCGCGCCTAACGCTTCCAACCTACGTCTGCGACAAATATCGAAGTACGAAAACCAGGATTAAAATGTCGGAAATAACCGATTTATCCGTCTTCGCCTCGAATCATCCAATAGGGAAAAAAAATCCAATAGCAAAAATAAACGTGTCACGAACGCGAAGCGATGCCAAGAGAGATCGGGCAGCGTATAACCGCATCGTGAAGAATTACGTTAAATTTACTACGAGACAGCTGTCGTTACCGGATAAGTCGCAATTTTGGTATAACTAAAACTTCTTTACCATTCGAATTATCCTCTATCCAGAAAGTGAAAACTATCGAGCGTTAGAATCGAAATGATAATTACCTTATGTACTTACTCAATTTACTCCAGTTAAATAACTAAAAATACAATTAAAATTATTAAATAGAAATAATATTAAATAATAATATTATTATTTATATAATTATATAGTTAATTATATAAATTTAGTTATATATTAGTTATATATTAGTTATATATATATTAGTTATATATTAGTTATATATATTTAGTTAATTATATAGTTATTTAGTATTTACTAGTTATTTATATAGTTAAATAGAATAATATTAATTTAGATAATTATTACATCGTTCTACTTCGATTTCAACCAATCATACGAATACCTTCGATTCGAAACAACTGGTGTTCTCTTCTAAAGAAATTTTTCAATTCAAAAATTTGGAAGGATGGTTTACCTTGAGGGGCGGTGGTAGCCGTTGCTGCGTGTCCTGGACAGCTCCGCGTTTCGTTTCAGGTACAAAGGCGTGAAGCCATTGGTGAGGCAACCGTGGCCGAACTCCTCCTCCTCCTTCTGACACGTGTCCAGACTCTCGAAGCTACGGTAAGGCCTGATTCTGGAAAAGTGGTCCACGTTTCCAAAACCATTTGGCAGAGCCTTGTCGTAGTCCTGTTCGAGGCTATCCGGAGACGTGTTCCCGGGATGGGAGGCGTTCGACCGGTTCGGATACTCCAACGAGTCGAAGCTGTAGCTAGAGGGCGAGAGGGTGGCGCAGGTCCTCTCCAACGACTCGAATTGAAGAAGGGAGCTCGATCTCGAGGAGGCGGACGATCTCGACGATCTCGGCGAAGCCGGATAATCGTCGAACACCGCCTGGTGCTCCCGCTGCTGCTCCCGCTCGTTGCCGCCGTTGTACTTGCCGCCCCTTCGCCTCTTCTTCCTCGCCGCCCCCGAATTGCACTCGCTCCCGCTCCCGTCCAGCCTTTCGTCTTTCCAGAGAAAACAGAGGAAACACAGTGGATGTAATTGACTTTAATCTATTAGTTTCTTGTTTTTTTAGTTTATAATTTTTTTTTAATAATTGCCTTTAATTTATTAGTTTTTTAGTTTATAAGTTAGTTTATAGTTTTTTAGTTTATTTACCTTTTCGTTCGATTTTCGTAATCGTTTTTATTAGTTTTTTGTTTTTTTTTAGTTTATAATTTTTTTTAGTAATTTTAATTTAGTAATTTCTTGTTTTTTAATTTATAATTTTTTTTAATAATTTAATGTATATTTTAATATATATTTTTTAGTTTATAATTTTTATTATTTTTTTCGTTTGTTTTTAATAATTGCTTTTAATTTATTAGTTTTTTGTTTTTTAGTTTATAATTTTTTTTAATAATTGCCTTTAATTTATTAGTTTTTTGTTTTTTTAATTTATAATTCTTTTTAGTAATTGCCTTTAATTTATTAGTTTCTTATTTTTTAGTTTATAATATTTTTTAATAATTGCCTTTAATTTATTAGTTTTTTAGTTTATTTACTTTTTCGTTCGATTTTAGTAATCGCCTTTATTAGTTTTTTGTTTTTTTTTTAATTTATAATTTTTTTTAGTAATTGCCTTTAATCTATTAGTTTCTTGTTTTTTTACTTTATAATTTTTTTTAATAAAAAATTGCCTTTAATATAATTTTCTAGTTTATAATTTTTATTACTTTTTCATTTTTAATAATTTTGATTTTAATAATTGTTTTTAATTTATTAGTTTCTTGTTTTTTCATTTATAATTTTTTTTAGTAATTACCTTTAATATATATTTTTTAGTTTATAATTTTTATTACTTTTTCGTTTGTTTTTAATAATTGCTTTTAATTTATTAATTTCTTGTTTTTTAATTTATAATTCTTTTTAGTAATTGCCTTTAATTTATTAGTTTCTTATTTTTTAGTTTATAATTTTTTTTAATAATTGTCTTTAATTCATTAATTTTTTAGTTTATGATTTTTTTAGTAATTGCCTTTAATTTATTAGATTTTTAGTTTATTTACTTTTTCGTTCGATTTTAGTAATTGCCTTTATTAGTTTTTTGTTTTTTTAGTTTATAATTTTTTTTAATAATTGCCTTTAATTTATCAATTTTCTAGTTTATAATTTTTTTAATAATTTATTAATTTTTTAATTTATAATTTTTATTACTTTTTCATTTGTTTGTAACAATTGCCTTTAATTTATTAGTTTCTTGTTTTTTAGTTTATAATTTTTTTAGTAATTGTCTTTAATTTGTTAGATTTTTAATTTATAATTTATTTACTTTTTCGTTTGTTTTTAAATACAAATCGAACAAAGGGGGGGAAAAAGTTTGCGTGCCGTGAGAGTAAAAGCGAGACGAAACCTGCCAAACCCAACCTACTTTCGAGCCAACCTTGTTAAAGTGAAGGCGAAGATTGGCGAGAAGCAAGGGGGTAAAGATGATTCGAAAAGTTTGCGCTCCTCTTATTCTTTCTCTCGATATTTCTAATACTTCATACTTTTTCATATCGCTGCGCGAATTGCAATCTTAGACTGTTAACTTCGACCTTCTTCGCTCGGCCGAACTCAACAACTCGAGACGATCTCCCTACACGTTCCCTGATGAATTACTTAAAATAAAATTTCACCTGATTCATTTAATATTTTTTTACATATCTTTACACAAAAGAAAGAAAATTTGTCGAATATTAAACTCTATATCGTTGTTTTCTCGTGATATTTTAATAATAAAGCGATTAACAAGATGCGTTTTCGTCCTCGGTTTGTCAAGTCTAACTTGAGAGTAAACCTTACAATTCCAATAACGTGCTCTCCTACATTCTATTATTCTTATTTCTCACCTTCTCTCACTCTCATCTCCATTTCCATCGCTATTTTCCTTCTCTCTTATCGTCAATCCCTTAACGAATACTAAGTAATTTCGTTATTCAATAAAATCGAAAAACAAATCATCTTCGCTCGAACTAATTTCATTATCGTATTCCATGCTTACAAAAAACTCGAAAACTTCGAAAATAATATTTCTATTTCCACCAACAATGCCAAACATGTGGACCGATCGCGGTCTAATTTGAGATAAAAAAAAAATCTAGATAAAAAAAAAAAAATTCGACGATACATTATTTTTGTACACTTTGTAAGATTACGCGCGTAAAAAAATCGAACGTTAAAAATAAATAAATATTGTCGCCGAGATTCGAATTGCCGCCGCGATCCAAATGATAGCGGGGGAGAGCCATTTCTCGAGTTATCGCATGAACCGAGTGGTGGTTGAGAGCCACTATCGGTGCGCAAAAGGTCGCAAAGGGTGGGCGATGATAGGCGTCGGCCGGCGCGAAACGTGTCGTCTGCCGATTAACGACCCGTTATCGGGGCCTCGTGTCGGCGGTCACGTGTCGCATCGACGGTCACGAAGCCGACAACCGGTGTAGCGTCGCTTCCGGTTGAACGAACCACGGCTTCCTGGCCGCGACACGGCTACCGCCAATCAGGCCGCCCCCACTCCTCGCCCCACTTCCGTCGCTCGACGATAAGTAAAGCGGTGAAAGAAACGCAAAGGGAATCGATATCGAGCACCGATTACACGAAGGAGATCGAGCCGTGTCTCATTCGTGCTTGTGTTCCATGTTGATGTTTTCATTTTCGATATTTTTTTCGCCTTTTCTTTTTTTCGGGAAAAATTATAGAGAGATTCGAGAATTTTCGAGTCGAGATGCGAATACAGCCTTGAATCGAATATAAAGGGTATTTTTCAGAATCGGGTATCGTTATTGACAATTGCGCGAGATTCGTTTGCAAAATTCGCTATTAATATAACCGTTGGTTACAATTGTTGCACGTGCCGATCTGTGGAAACCGATTCCATAATTGGGGGACAAGGGGTCTATTCAGAAGATTTTTCGGGGAACGCGAATGAAAATAAACGCGCGAAACGTTTTCGTACCCTCCCTCCTCCCTTTCCGATCGAATCTCATCTCTCGGCTCGAAATTCTTTTCAGGTCGGCAATTGAATTTGCTCCGCGATGCATTGTTCTCGTCTCGGTTTATTTTCGCATGATCGCATGCACGTGGAATTCAACGACTAGTCCATGGTAATCCTATATGAATCACGTTGAAGGTGATCTAATATTAGATGCGACGGAAGAGGATCGTGCGTAGAATCGTAGACACGATTGACCTTAACACTGAATTAAAAGAAAAAAAAAAAAAAAAAAAAAAAAAAAAAAAAATAGAAAGGAACTCTATTCGTGCGATAATCGAATAATATATTCTCGATATTGCTTCGAAAATGCAGTTAGTTAGACACTTTAATTTATATGCGAATCGATCAATAATTAGCAGGATAAATCGCTTCAACTTGAGAAAAAAAAGGAAAAAGAATAGTTGGCGAACGGCCAAAATAAACGTTTATCGTTTCTATTACACTGTTCTATAATTCAAGTTCCTGGTATTTCCGTCAGATGTCGGTATTGAGTTACATGAGCTACTTTTACCGAGATACGTTATCTTTCTTTCAGCATTTTTAGCAAAAACTAAAAAAAAAAAAAAATGTTTAATTTAAGCAAATTTTACTTGCGCGCGAAATTTTATTATTAAATTCTTTTGGAAAAATCTAACGATGGGAAATGAAGTATATACAATATGTAAAATATATATATATATATATTATTTCTCTTTAAATTCCCTTTAAACTTCAAAATGTAATAAACCCACGTTCACTTGTTACGAAACTACAACACGTAATTAGCAAGAGTGATTAACAGGTTCAGAACGAACCACCTTTCAGCGAGCCAACAACTTTTAATAAAACGCTTAACGGTACTCTCGGTGCGAGAAGGATAGCGATAAAGACGTAAACAAAAGAGATTAATTGTCTGAGATGCAATTACCGTTCAATTAGAGTAACAAGTGGTTCGAGTCCACTTCCGAGTTAAACCACGATTCAAATTCAAACGTGAGTTTTCCACGTGCGTCCACGTTCCTGATCTATTTATCGAGGGAACGAGAATGGATCAACGATTATTCCGCGCCGATGAAAGATCGTTTCGACAAACGACCGCTCCCGCAAAAGGAGAGCGCGCGTGATGCAGCGCCCGTGATGCCTGAAGCATAGCAACCGGACATACCGACACGTTACAACGGTCGCATAACCATCGTGGATACGAATCTCGTTACGTGAACGATAAATTCGAGTTCGAAGAACAAAGAGTAAACGAACCTGTCCTTATTAAACGTATTATTCGAAGAACTGAATAAAAATATTTATTCAAACAAATATTCACATCTCACTAATATTACTTTTTTTTAAATATTGAATGTAATTATTAAAAATAAAAAATAACGTTTTCTTAATGACAAATCGAAAATTTTCTTATTCCATATCATAATCGATCTTCGGAAATCGAAGAATTACACAGATTCAACGAACTCTCTCGTTATTGTATCTATTTATAGATACACTCGGGTTTCATAAATGAGTTTGTAATAAATGTTTTCGTTTTTGTTATACAAGAAGAAAACGGGTTACGGAATGTTGGTTTGAATGAAGATATACGGATACGATTTCATTCTTCGGGAGTCAATGAATCGAGGGATCGGGAGCTGAAAAGAGAAAGTGGACCTCGGGTGAACAATGTTCACCATCACGAATACCGACGAGACGCGAGAATGAGGTTTCGCAACGTGTATTCCGAAACGAAACATCGTTCACTTGTTCTTCAATATCACTGTTGGAACCGTTTTCGAGGTAATCTTATATATAGAGAGTGGAAGTTATATCATAGTAATTATTATCTAATCAGCATACAACCAAAACTAACAAAATAAAATTTAGGACAAACTGTTGCAATATTTAAAAAAATTTAAAAATTTAATATATATATTATCAAAGTATGTTACACCTGTTGTTACAGAATTTCGTTTCAAACGTGAGATCGTTTTAATTAGAAGGTATAATGAAACAAATGGCACACGGCCACCATATTCGATCTAGCCAAATTGATATTCGACATCCTGGTCCAAAAACTCTTTGGTTTTATTTTTAAACTTATTGGATAATTTTGCTTTAATTATAATCGATAGCGAGTTTCGATTAAAAGAATTTTAATCGAAGAAAAATTTGCATGCCTTCGTAACTTTAACGTGTATCACGTGTATTTCTTACCAGCTAATCTATTCGCTCGTATGTGTATCACGCTTTCAGTTTCGGAGTCCGAGCCGACCCAGTAAGTGGTTCCACTTCGATCGGAATCGCTTTGCAGATCGTCGGACGTTTCTTCTAAAATGGTCTCCAGAAAATCCACTTGCTGCACCAGCACCGTATCTGTGAACGGAGAGCAACGATTTTTAACGAATATTGTTTAAAAAAAAAAAATTTATTCACATTTCGATCGAGCCGAGAAAATTTTTATTTCGAATAATTTTGAGACGAATGAATAATGTACAATAAGCACGAAGTCGTCTTTTTCGTAAGAACAAGGTTATCGCTTCACATCGAGAATAACACCGCCATGTTTTTCTTATGTAATATGATACACACGAGTAACGAACGAGCAATGCCATTACGTTTCAACGTTCGTGTGTTATTGGTATGTTTCGTGGAATTCCATGAATTTGAAACACATTTTATTCCATTAATTATTAATTAAAAACTATTGTGTGTATATCGTATTCTCTCACGATATGAATTTGCAAACAATAATAAGAAAATAGTGGAACATTAGATATTAATAAATTTATAAGACCATTATTACTATCGCTAATCTCCTTTCAATCTTGGTTTAAATATTTCTTCCCTACATTTAATTTTTACTTGCCTAGTTTCAGTTTCGTTTTATCGCTTATGAGATTTTTACTTGATACTTCAAACGCGATATTTCGTATAAAAGTGTTTACAAATAAGCTAGCTAGCTATGAACGAATGTTACAGTATGGTAAACACCGAACAGTGAGATCTATGCTAACGCAGTTCTTATCGAAAAGTTATTCATACATAAAAATAACTATTGTAATATTATACGTTATATTAGTCATTGATGATATTTTAAGATAAGTATAATAAGTAGAAAATATAAGTATCTGTGTTTAAAATACAAAGTACGATTAAAAATTATTTTTCACTGTTTCTAAATTAATTTTCCGAAAATTTTTCATTAAAGAATTAAGCAAATGGTACACACTATACAGTGACAGGTTACTAAACGTTCTTTGCCTTGTCGGTCGGACGAATACACCGACGCTCCACTGGTTGCCTGCGTACAGGCGTTTCTGGCGTTAAATTAAAATTGCTCGTTTCTCGAAATAAGAAAAGTAAAATACAATGTTCAACGTAGTTAGAAATTTATACGGAAATATCTTAATCGTAACTAAACGCTTTATATAAAAGAAAATAAAATTAATAAATGAAACATTTCTCGTATTTCTCGTAATTCTCTTTAATAATCACTCGATTATAACGAAGAAGAATTTTCCGTGAAAATTTCTAATAAGAAACATTTCATTTCACAACACGCGAGAAACTTAAGCATTAATGTTTATCCTTCGTAATAGGATATAATAACACATAATGAAACACGATTATTTCTCAATCTCCATTTTTATATAATTGTTGAATTAAATGTTTCGATCCATCGTGAAAAAAATAATAAATAAGATAAAATAATAATAAATAAGAATGCAGAACTCTTTTTCCAGATAACATATGTAAATCTTATCCAAAATGTTTGAAATTCCGTATCTTGACTCCGTCAGGTCAAATGATAAAGTTATCGAATCGAATATTTCATATCTTTAGCGAAATATAAAATGACCATTCACAGACGTTTCATAGACGATATATGGAAGAAAGATAAAAAATATATATCGATATAAACGAAATTAATCCAGAATCATAAATAAAAAGAGAAACACGTCCGATTCCACATTGATGGTAATCCACCAAGTTGAATATAATTATGAATATTGTTCTTCTCTCATATTTTATAAATCGCTCGCTCGATTTTTTTTCCAAAGAAACGATCGATAATCGTTAAATAGCTCGAACGGTGATGACGCATACGTTATGTCATTGGAGATTTTGCGATTTGACGCTTCGATTCGAATTCTTATGGATTCACCGCTATTTTATCGTACACGCGCATATAAACCTGTCCTTCCTCCCACTCGTTTGCTGAATCATAAAAATAATCCGACGATACAAAGATTTGTTCGACAATGGCCAAGCGTATATTACAATTAAACAGGTGGCATATTATAAATTTCCACCCTGTTTTTGATTTTTTTATATCGAAAATAATTATATATAATATAATATTCTATTTCAGAAAGTATTCCCAACTTGAAAGAAACAAATTAGAAATTTAACGATCGTTTCAAGCGGTGAGAAATCAAGCGTAGAAACGTCGATTTTTTGAAAATCGATTCTAAAATGAAAAAAAGTTGGTAATGCAAAAATATCGTACGAGTATTTTATTTTATTAAGTCATAAATAATTTCAGTTCGTCAGAGATGAATAAAATCTTAATCATCGATACTAAAATTACTTCGATAAAATGTTATTATAATAACTATAGATATTCAAATATTTTTATTCAAATATTTTTATATTAATTTTAATTAATAAAATACTTTTTCAATTAACCTTAATTTCATCTAAACTTAACTTTCAATTGCATTGCAACTATGAATTCCACATTTTTCTATTATCGAGAAAATTTTGTTTCGACAAAATTAATATCGTGATTTATCCCATCACAACTCTTTAATCACAATCCTTTACATAAAATTAATTTAACCGAGATTTTTATGTATACCAACTTTTGCTTTTTCCTTTCTTTCTCTATTTTCTCCAAACGTTGTTCCATGAATATATCGACACCCTGTATATATCTCATAAAAATTCTTTAATTACAATCTTTTACATAAAAGAGATTTTTATGTATCAACTTTTGCTTTTTCCTTTCTTTTTTTATTTCCTCCAAATATTGTTCCATGAATATATCGACACCCTGTATATATCTCATCAAAATTCTTTAATCACAATTTCCTTTACATAAAATAAATTTTATAATAAATAAACCGAGATTTTTATGTATCAACTTTTGCTTTTTCCTGTCTTTCTTCATTTTCTCCAAACTTTGTTCCACAAATATATCGACACCCTGTATATATCTCATAAAAATTGTTTAATTATAATCTTTTACATAAAAGAGATTTTTATATATCAACTTTTGCTTTTTCCTTTCTTTCTCCATTTCCTTCAAACTTTGTTTCACGAATATATCGACACCCTATACATATCTCATCAAAATTCTTTAATCACAATTCTTTACATAAAAAAAAAAATAAATTTAACCGAGATTTTTATGTACCAACTTTTGCTTTCTCCATTTCCTTCAAATTTTGTTTCACGAATATATCGACACCCTGTATATATCTCATCAAAATTCTTTAATCACAATCCTTTACATAAAATAAATTTAACCGAGATTTTTATGTATCAATTTTTGCTTTTTCCTTTCTTTCTTCATTTCCTTCAAACATTGTTCCATGAATATATTGACACCCTGTATATATCTCATCAAAATTCTTTAATTACAATCTTTTACATAAAAGAGATTTTTATGTACCAATTTTTATTTTTTCCTATCTCCATTTTTTCCAAACTTTGTTCCACAAATATATCGACACCTTGTATATATCTCATCAAAATTCTTTAATCACAATTCTTTACATAAAGTAAATTTAACGGAGATTTTTATGTACCAACTTTTGCTTTTTCCTTTCTTTCTCTATTTTCTCCAAACTTTGTTCCACGAATATATCGACACCCTGTATATATCTTATTAAAATTCTTTAATTATAATCCTTTACATAAAATAAATTGAACCGAGATATATATATATATATATCAATTCCAAACTTTATTCCATGAATATATCGACACCCTATATATACGAGTTGTACACTCGTTCTGCAATATGACGGAGGAAAGAGAACCACCTGTTGCGGCGAGCCCGTTCGTTCCGCAACCGGACAACGGACGTGAATAATCAGTCGCCTTACACAAAAATAATCGGTGATCTGCCTCGTTTCGCAGTGCAGTGCGCGTCATTCGAATCGCGCTTGGTCACGAGGAAACGACCAACGAACGAATGAATGAATCCGCATCGTCGGTGTTGCACTCTTTTGCGTAACCCGTGATCAGCCGATAAAAGAAACCGGAGTGTGTTTCGCCTGGGTAATTGTTTTTTTTTTGTTGTTGTAACGCGTGGATTTTAATAGATTCTCTAGAGTGGAAGAAGGCTTCTTCTTCCTTCTTCTTCGAGGAGAATCGAGATCGTCATCTTGGTTGCTCTTAGAATTCTTTTTCTCTCTCTTTCTTTCGTTCTACGATCTATGATTATAGAAAGTAGTCCGTATCAAGCGTTTTTACCATTAACAGACGATTTGTATTCATACCCGCGCGATACTTTTCTCTATCCAATAGAAATTAAGGCAACGATACAAGTATCTATTAATATATAGAGCGTAGAGGAGAGAGGGGTAGTAAGAATTCATCGTACATAACGAGGCTTCCTGTTCGATGTAACAGTTCGTGACAGATCACGAGCAGATCTGGCGAGTATATTAGAACGAGTTACCTTGGAAGATGCGGAATTTTTGTCTATAAAAGTTTTATTTTATTTTATTTTTTTTTTTCTTTTTATTTTCGCGAACAACTCTCGATATATCCGTTTGAATAAATTTACGCTTTACCGACGTTATCTTTTTTTTCAATGTATATATATATATGAGAGAGAAAAATATTTTCGTGACTCACGACTCGCTCTTCAACGGATTAATGTAAAACAGAAACCGAGAGATCTACGCGTAATTAACAAACCGGTCACTTCCTTCGCGTGAGATCGTAGGAATGGATGAAAGCGTGATACAATTCGCAACATCGTTTTCCCATTTTATCCTAATTTAATTCTTTCGAAATATCCACTCGTCTCATTTCCATTCTTATTTTCCATTTTACCGATCACCTTTGATATTAAGACGCGAGAATAATAATAAAAAAATAAAAAAAAAAAAAAAAAGAAAAAGAAAAATCATCGTCTTATTACCGCGTATAAATCGCGTTTAACGAGTAGAAAGTATTCAATCATATCGTACGTATTTCAATCATTGTATGTGCGCCTCAATACACGAGAAAAAAGCAATAGAAAATTAACTCGCGGGTAATTTCCTAAGGTTAGAGAACCACGGAGTTTTTTTTTAAATTAAACGCGTCGCAGTGATCACAGTTTCGACTGTGCGCATCGTTTAACCGACTGATGGAAAGTGAAACGATAACTAACACTCGCGCATGCGCACACACGCACACACAGAGTACGAACCATTAGTCCGTAGATCCTCGTGCGTAGGTTGAAAATGGGAACGATGCTGCAGCTGGAAGCCATAGGCCGGAAGCCACGGATTCGGTCCGTTCACCAGATCCATATCCAACGCGTCGAACGTGGTCGATGGCTCCTCCTCGTCGTCCTCTGCCTCGACGTCGAGCTTCGGCGACGACGCGAGCGTCGCCCCCGTTGAAGAAACGGTGGTCGTCATCGTGGTGATCGCTTCCTTCGTGCTCATCTCCAACCGGTGGAGACGTGTCCAACTGTGTTTGGTGACCGCCAGTCATTAACCGCTTCGCCGAGCTGTGAATCTTCTTCCCGCGTTTCCACGCCGACCCTCATGCTCTGCCCTCCAACCCTTCCGGTTACCGAGTCTCCGTTCTCTGCAAATGGGTAAAAGTACGGTGAGAATCGAAAGAACGCGTGTTACGTATTTCGTAACTCATTTCTTATTCTCTCGTCTTATTCGAGAGAATAAGAAAGAAAAATTAGAATATCCGGGCGAAAACGGAAGTTCGCGAGAGATTTAACGGGGAGGATGGATGACGAAGTTAATTCTAACGAAACGAATGTTACATTTTCGTGGATAGAATCGAAACGAAAGACTTTGTCGGTGGTTTATGAACCGTGGCGCATTCACGGAACTTTGAATGGCTGTTTCGAATTCTAAGCGGCGATTCAGCCGTTGGTGATATTATAGAAAATGAACAGCGCGCTTTATAGGTGAAATTTAATGCCCGTTAGAGGAATCGTTAGACAGGAGTAAGTATAGTAGCTACGTGGCGCGTATAATTTCGGTGACGCAATTTTCTGCTTTGCAGTAAATAACGAAACGATGCGGAATTATTTATTCTCGTTATCGTGGTTAATAGGCCAATCGTTCCAAAGAAACAGGAGGATATAAATGACCGTTATTTGAGAAATATAGATATAAAGATACATAAAGATAACATTAGTGGTTCATTCTATGTTCCACTTTTGAATTCCGTTCGCACAAGATGTAGCAAATATAGAAAACGCATATTTAGGTTAAAAAAAAAAGAGGAAATGGTGCCATTTTTATTCTCTTTCAAAAATAAAACGCAAAAAATAAAAAACACCTGTTTTGCCTAGCATCGTTTCACAAAGTTATCGTTCCAACAAACTGTTCACAACAAACTACACTTAAGTTGCAATCCCGTGTTGTTGATAATCGATTTTCAATACGAATACGCAACTCCGATCCGATCGAATCCACGAGAATTGCCTTCAAATACCGACCATGAAACAATTTATTCTCAACGTCTCACGCCCATTGAATTCGAGATTCCACGAGGCGTTTTAATTCAAAGAAAAAAAAAAGCAAAAAAAAAAAAACGTTACTCGCGCGAAGAAAACGCGTGGGTGTAACGATTACCCCCCCTCCAATGCATGTATACCGGTATACGTATACATACAAAACGCACCGTACGATGGAATCCGTTGTCTGTTCGTATCTATACGATGTTGGACGAAAAGAAACGACGGTGGGTTTACCTTGTTGCGCGCAACGCAACGTTAAAATATTGCCGCGAGCCGCGGATTTAAACGACGCGGCAGGAATCTCTGCGCGCAGCAAAAGTTACGCATGCGTAATTGGATAAGGATCGAGTAAGGTTGTCGCCCCTCGCGGCGATCCTTCGAGGCTCCTATCTCTCTTCCTGAAGCCAACCGTCCACCGAAAGCTGCAGCAAATTTTATTGCGCTCGTATTTGCTCGACGGACTGAAAAACGGTACGTGTGTTCGTAATTTCGTGACGACCCCGAAACAGAGAGAGAGTAAGAGCGAGAGCGAGAGAAAGAGAGAGAAGAGAAGAGAAGAGAAATGCAGTTCGCAAAGAAATCGAAATATCACCGTGTATGTTTACCGCTAAGTTTTATTATCCCGATCCACGACTGGAATAATTGACCATGCTTGTAATTCCATTCGCATTTTTTGAAATAAAGGTCGGTTTATATGTGAAATCAGGTTGAAATCAGGCAAAGATTTAAAATTAAAAAAATGTAGACATAAAGGTTAATGAATAGAAAAGAAGATAGATTTCTATCATTTCTATCGTTCTAATACATACGCCACAGCCAAGATTACGGAAGAGCGCGAAACTTCAAACGGCACTCGATCTAGAATACTGACGAGATGATACCCGATACAAACCACGGGATAGAAGAATGTTTTCTAAATTGATGCTCTTCCTGCGTCATTCAACTTATATAATATCATTCGTGGCCTCTCGATCATATGATTAGTTGTTCTAATTCAACGCAGATCACAATTCTTTGCAAACAAGTGTTCCTTGTAGATATTTCTTCATTGAATTTGTCGCAATCAGCTGATGAATGTTTATATAGAAGGTAGAATTAAATACGCGTGACTGAATGATTATTGAATTGTTCAATTGAACAAAAATTATTAGATTTGAAAGAAGAACATAAAAGATTTTTTAGATTTAAGATTAAGATTTTAATAGATAGAATAGAGAAAGAATGAAAGATAATGTAGATTTCAGTATATATCTATATATAATTCAACATTTTTAAATAAAAATAAATTTTAAATAGTTTCAATTTGAAATAACAATTTTAAACTATTTCTATAATATATATTAATATTCCATATTGAAATTTATTTTTAAAACAAGAAAAAAAAAACAATATTATATGATAAGATTAAAATAATTATTTTATAGTTGTTTCAAATTTTTTTTTTCAAGCTATTGTAAATATTAATAATAAATGGATTATTACATTTAACTTAAGATAATATTTATCTTAATGATTTTTATAATACTGTATGATATCAATAATTCATGATATAAAAATTTTTATATTTCTTTTTACAAAATTATTCAATATAAGTAAAAAATATCGACTTATCTTTAAAGCAAACAATATTTATACAAGAATATATATTTTATTAGAATATATAATTTATCAAGAATATATATATATATTTTATTTCCAAGAAAGATATAAGACAGAAATGATTAATATGCATTTGACATAGATATGAAATATATTCAAAATAGTACCAACTACATAGTATGTTTTCGAATTGTCGAATCGAACTGTCTCAGGTTGCAACGTTCTCGTGTCATTTGTTAGTTGTCCTTGGCGGACAACTTCAAAGAAAAAGAGATACAAACTGTTTCATTCCGCTTGCCACGTCAAGCATATAGGTCTTTTTCATAATTCCGACTAACTTATATACTAAATATGTACTCATTACCACAATGTATAGAAATAAAAACATTAAAAACTATACTAAAGATGAAAAAACAGAAGATCACTATACATTTGATAAAATTCTATGAATAGATTCTCTGATTTTTTATAATTTTTATAAATTTTTTTCATAAATTTAAATATAAATTATTTGTTTTCTTGATAAAAAACAGAGAAAGAAAATCAAATATTCATTAACCTGAATTTATAATACATGATTTTGCACCAAGTATCGCAACCTTTAACATGATTCTGTAGTCACTTTCACTTTACATAACGTACTTTAGCTGCAGATGTGTTTAGTAATCCGGCAACTCTCGCATGATTAACTTTTATTAAGAAAAAAATTGATCCTTACATTCATTGTGGTAATAATAAAGATATCCGATTTACGTCATAAATAAATTAAGATAATTACGAGATCCATTTAAGACTAGTAATAACTCTAGGGTACTATGTAATGTTTTAAATTTGAAATTAAATTATATAATTATTTATTGAAATGTACGTATATCATATTTTTAAACTGATTATTTGAAACTCATTTATGTTATAATTATGTTATAAGTATAAATCTAAAAATATTTTACAGAATATAACAAATTACCACAATTATGTTACAAAACATTGATACTTCGAGAAAAAAGAATAATGCACGATAACGTATAGTTTTCTCCTTCTTATCGACATTCAACAAAATGAAACGAGTTGCCTCAGTACACACTTCAACCGTGACAGCTGTCAAAAGTGGCGAAGCGTCCACGATGCAATATAGACGCGAGTATAATCATTAGAAAGAGAAAGAAAGAAAGATTAAAGAAAAGAAGAAAGAAAGAAAAGTGCAAAGAGAGGTGGATGATCGCGTAAACACGCAAGTTCTACGTTGTTACGAGTGAGAAGGAAGTGACGCATTAAGGATAAAGAAAGAAAGAAAGGTTAGAACCGCACAGTGAATTCCGAGTGCGACGGCGCGGTGGTGGATACCTGTCAGCGCGCATTCCACGATCCCACAGCGTGCTCTCGCCTCGTCGTTTACTACCACTAGACTTTTGCCTTCCTAACGGCAAGAACACGTAATCATACACACCGCCAGTAAAATCCAGAGTGGGATTTAAACGCACACACAACTTGTTTACGAAAAAAACGTATCACTTGCTACGGTAACCGGTGAATCGCGTGTTGTTCGCGGCGCGAACATGGCGCACAATTCGTATGGCGTTCAACCACTAAAAAGCACAAGCCCAGGAACAATGGGGATTCTCTACGGTGTGAGAGAAACTTGAAGGAGCGACGCGAACAATGGAACGTGACTTAAGGACACCGGAGAGCGCGAGAGCCAACTTTACACCGCGGGGTAAATACTAGAACAAAACTCGCTGCTTTCGCTCGCGGAGCGCGGCCGTGCTGGCCAATCCCCACCCGCGCAACGTCGCCACGTGGTACACAGCTTAACCAATCACAAACTGGTTACGCGGGGCCCCCCGGACGTGTTCGTAAAGCCGGCTTGCTACCGATCAGTTTCTTCTCTTCTTCTCTTGTACCGATTTAACATTTAGACGACATAAAGGAACACGAAAGGCCACCGTCCTTTTGTTGATATACGTACTTGAATCGATTCTTTTTCCTTTTTTTACGCGACAATGTTTCACCGCTTCACGAGCCAGAAAATCGGTACGTGTGATTCGGAAGAAGAGATTGCAACATGATCAAATGAAAGATGGACTAAAATATCTTTGCCTTGTTGAGAGATAACACACTAAAGAAACTGGTATTGCTTGAAATATATACTACAGATAACTTACCGGTTTCTATTTCCACAATAATGGTTCGTAACATTAGATCTTCTAAATAAAATAATATATAGGACCACATGCATTATAACATTCTTTAGTGATAGGTCAATTTGCCAACGCAAATTGTCCCCTCTCGTATATTCGTTTATCTTAAATTGGTACAAAGAGACGCGTAAAAACATTACACTTCCGTTGACGAGTCTTATTGCTTTGCTATGAAAAAGTGCCGCCTACTTGTCAAAACGTCTCGTTATTATCGCAAAACAGTCTTTTGTAGACACTTGCATTTATATGTAACTATGTATACGCGAGTAGCATGCGTTACATAGATTTGCATACACAACTCAATGGACCTGCGAGCGACTGAATAGATAACTACGAACATTGCCTTGAATCGTGATCAATAAAATCAACTTAAGCGATATGTCTTGTCGTTTGTTCCATAAGAACAATCAGATATCCAAATAGAAAGATTAGTCATATCTGCTATTCAATTACGTTTTCTATCAAAATAAAATAATCAAAGTGCATAAATCAAATTTGATAGAATAAAATTATTATATACTTCGTTATGATAACACATGTTATGAATATGTAATCCAAAAAAAAATTTGAAAATATTCGAATATAATCGAATTGATATAGTTTAAAGAATTAAATTAATTCAAATTATCAGTTATTAAAAAGTACATACTCTCATAGAAAATTAAAACAGTAAATATTGTATTATTTACTTTCTCAAATAAATATTGTGACCAAATATAACTGCACAATACTCATCAACAAACGATCCATCACGTTTTACGCAAGAGATATAGAATGACTAATGACGCAATACTTCGTTCCACCGAATTTCTAACGGGTAACCTCTTTCGAAAGGATAGTTTGTTCGGTAGGTACATCGATCCAGTCACCAAAACGAACGACAGGCGGCTCTGAATTCGACTCGAGAGATCGCAGAATCCATCTCATAGCCATATGTGCGATGAGAGAAGTATGTAACGGGCAACTGGCCGATGGAATTAGTTTCTTTTTTTGAGGCAGGTCACTGACACCAAACGGCGATGGATTGACGCGGCGGGGTCAAGTTCTACGTGCGTTGTCGACAGTACTTCGCGTTTAAAGGTATCGCCGAGCATTCCTTGCGGGATATCACGTTACTTACGGAACCATGATCAATCGTTCGAACTCAGTCTATGACTATAGAACGAAAGTTGCAAGTCGTAAATCGTTGCGAAAGTTGCGAACGGTGTTGCTCGTGATAGCAATTCGGCTATGGTATATGTTTATGTGAAAAAAGGGAAAAGTGCTTCAGCATTATTTTAGTTTAATTAATGCCAAAATACATGACTTATATTCAATTATATTCGAATAATAAATAGCAATTGGCAACCAGTAATTTTTGTGTACAATATTACCTATTTAAGAAATATATAGGAAACTCTAAAATTAACTTTTCTAATTGACTTTAATTTCCCAACGTATTAAATTGAAATTAAACTATATTCACAAAATAGTATTGTTAAAATTTTAAATTAATTCTCATATTTTCTTAAGTCAGGACAGAAAATGTTCAAATGAATTCCTAGCATGAGAATGCAAATAACGGTGCTCACCATCAAGATAGAGGTTAGTAATTAATTATCGAAATGCCTTGGGGAACGCCTAGTTCATTTTTTGTTTCTTTTTCACGATAATTTCCATATTATTACACATTTCCATATTATTATTAATTTCAATATACGTAGTAAATATTTTTTCATCATAAAGAATACTGACAATCTCATATATTTTAATTATATTATTTAATTTCATATTAAAATATAAAGATTTTATTATGACAAAATATTGTCAATTAATTTTTAAAATAGAATCATCCTTTTACTTTGAAACATTTTGTACATGAATGTCTTCAAAGAAACATGATTGTGACATAATATTTTTAAATAGTGATCATCGATTTTCAATGTGTTCAAAGGTATTCTCGTTTTTACATACCAAAACATTTCCAAAACCAAAATTAAATTTATTTTTTTAATATTCTCTTCGAATATTAATTTATTCAAAAGATCATTTGGTATATTCCGACGTACTGACAAACAATTGACGACCGCATGAATTTAATTAAGTTGATCAGATCCAATTAAAGACCCTTTATGTTCCTTTTTATTGCTCCCTTTTTTGATTGAGAGATAAATCGTCTATAGTGCTAAAAATAAAATCAACATGTTTAAATATCAATAAAAAAAATTAGAATCATTACAATTTTCTATATTAATTAGACTAAATATTATATCTAGAAAATTGAATTCGTTGTCTATTTATTTAAAAAAAAAAGAGAAATCGTATGATCGTATTTATGAATATAAAAACATTTAATCTCGTAATATCGTTGAAAAAATATGATCGTTACAATTTTAGTTTTATAATAACTATGACTTCATAATTTATCTCTTGGTATTAAAGATTTCGTGTGACGTATCTTATTTCATTGTATTAGTTATCTTCTCAATTATGAATGGCTTTTTGATAATAAAATCTCATACAGATACGCTATTGTTGATTTTCTTTTTATCACGATGATTGTTTTATCAGAAAATTTTTCATTGAATTATCAATCAAATAACAATTGACGAAATAACGTTATGTAAAAATTTATTTGTAAATTGATGAATTCTTTCGTATATAAATATAGATATCAAGGAGACAATAAACTTTTTATGTATGTTCATGAGAAGAACACATCATATTTTTTTTTATCGTTTTTTCAAATCTCATTTCAATTTTATCGCCTGTTCTAGATTTTTGTTTCGATATTTAAGTATATGTACGCAAATTTCACGATATAGACATATTTTAAGATAACATATTCAATCAAATATTTTTCGACAAATCTAAAAACTAATTACTTAAAAATTAAATTAATCAAATTTTACAAAAATTTTAATATCAATATATATGATTAACATTTATTTTTTTTTTAGAAACCAAATGATTCCATGCACTTGGAAGCTTGGACCAGCATAAAAGTTATCAAAAATGTTGTAAATATAAAAATGATGTGAAATGATATGAAAATTTAGAGATAAAAATTGAAAAGAAACCGATTTTAAGATAGTTAAAAGAAGTACTTTCTCTAATTTAAATTACTAGTGAAAGTGACTATAAACAGTTTTTTAAATAACTGTAGGAATTTAGTAACAAATAAATATTATAATTAACTGATTCATACTTGAACAGATGCAAGAAAATTAAACTATAGATTTACATATTACATTTATATTGTTTAAAAGAATTAAAGGATCTAATAAATATATTTAATCTAATAAGTGTCTTCTCCTATCTTAATATTATCATATATTTTGATTTTAATTCATTCTCTATGATTCTATTACTACACCCAACATTCATTGAACACATTATTATCTTTTAAATATAAATTTATTAGAGTAAAATAAAATTAATTATACATTAATTCCAAAATTTCTTTATTTTTATATTTGATTAAGTTGAAATATCATCACACACATCTCAATTATGCAGATTCAATCTATCTTCAATCTTCATCCTACTTGTCCTAATTTAAAATTCAAGGAACAGATAGAATAAGATACTCAATGCAACAAGTTCCAAGGCGAGCCCAATTTGTATAGTTCCGCCAGTAGATTCTGGAAAAAAAATATAACGTGACAATATTAAATTTATATTAAACAATCTCGCTTTGTATTGTAAAATATAATTAAATCTCTAGGGATTTCTTTAATTAATTCCCTAGTAATATTTCCCTTCTCCAAACGTTACATCATATAACTTAATAATTAAAAAATTGGTAAAATTATAAGATGCATATATATGTGTATATATATATATAGCGACGAAGGTAAGAATTTCTCAAGGTTATTCTTCTCCTGCTGACATTTTCTCACCATAATCGTAATATTGCAGTATTTCCGTGACTTCATCCTCACACTCCTCATCATCAGCGGCGGCTCTGATCTGCACATGCCCATTCCTCTGGAGTTCGTCGACCTCTGGCTTACCCTCGAACGCAATCGCCGCGTAATCGGACCTTGCCTCCTCAATCCGGCGACCCTTCGCGGAGTCTCTGAACCCGATCTAGAAAAGTCAGGAAAGGATTTACGCCTAAGTACTAACCGTAATCGCCAAGTGGTTCCTCCGTTTCGTTCACCGTGTCCTCGTCGTCATCGTCATCATCGTCGTCATCATCAGGCCTCGCGACGGCGAAAAAAACTCTTTTCTCATCTTCCCCATCTTCATCCTCGTCCTCCAAGTCGTCCTCCTCGTCTTGGTTTCTATAGTTGGCCTCGTCGCCTGATCGCCTTCTCAGAACGGAACGATAACCGCGCTCGTCTTTAAAGTTGTTGTTTTCAAGTCTATTTTCGCGTAGCACGTAGTCGTCCTCCTGCTCCACGCTGTGAACTTGCAGAAGATTACGTCGCGGTATTCGCACCGAGTCTGAGTAACACAACGTGTCTGAAAAATGATATGTACACTGAGATAATGGGCAATTTGCGTTCCATCACTACTGACAAGTCTAGAATTTGTAGAATAATGAAAAAAAAAAAAAAAAAAAAAAAAAGATGTGCAAAAAAAATATTGCAGTATATACACATGTATAATTTAATTAATTCTTATAATTAAATTATTTAATTATCCAATCTTATATTATAATATATATAATATTAATTATATAATATTATTATATATATTATATTAATTATATACTATATATACACTACTGAGAAGTCTAGAATTTGTAGAATAATAAAAAAAAAGGAAAGAAAAAGATGTGCAAAAAAAATATTGCAAAAATATACATATGTATAATTTAATTAATTCTTATAATTAAATTATTTAATTATCCAATCTTATATTATAATATATATAATATTAATTATATAATATTATTATATATATTATATTAATTATATACTATATATACACTACTGAGAAGTCTAGAATTTGTAGAATAATAAAAAAAAAGGAAAGAAAAAGATGTGCAAAAAAAATATTGCAAAAATATACATATGTATAATTTAATTAATTCTTATAATTAAATTATTTAATTATCCAATCTTATATTATAATATATATAATATTAATTATATAATATTATTATATATATTATATTAATTATATACTATATATACACTACTGAGAAGTCTAGAATTTGTAGAATAATGAAAAAAAAAAAAAAAGAAAAAGATGCGCAAAAAAAATATTGCAGTATATACACATAATTTAATTAATTCTTATAATTAAATTATTTATTCCAATCTTATATTATAATATATATTAATTATATAATATTATAATAATTATAATATTAATTAAATTATTTATTCCAATCTTTTATCGTTACTTCGTTATGGAATATATTTAAAAATTAATTGTTATTAATTGTAATTTTCTTTTTTTGATAATAGAATGGAAACGAGGTTCAAAAAAATATTTCTATTATATTCTTATTCTTAATTCGAGAAATGTAACAAGTTTGTACCTTCGAACCTTTCACGATCATCATTCTCATAAACATCGTCCAAGTCTATGTTGTTACCAGGATCAAGTTCTCCTTCAAAAGTGAATGTTCCAGAGTTACTTGAGATACACCCTTCGATAGAAATGCAAGGTTCTGTGAGTCTGGTCGCTCTCATAATTCCATCAACGGTGTTTACTTCGCAATAACATTTAACGAAGGTATCCGGGCAGCTAGAAAAGTTCACACCTTTCGTCATGGTCAAGGAATTCGAGGGAACTTCCTGAAAGGAGCGTTGGCTCACCAAAACGATCCTGGCCCGATACAATCTATGGCTGGTTTTCCTCTGGTAATATAATTTTAGATATATACATACATATATATATATTTCATACGAAATATTGATATTACAATTATTTATTTATCATCTATTTATTATTGTTCAGCTTCAATTCTTATTTACGTTACTTGATCTTGGCATGATGCAACTTCTACCATGAATCCTCTACCGCAACTGTTGTTGCATTTTGGTGTCGACCACCGTGACCATAAGGAATTAATTTCTGCTGGGACTGAAGTCGAAGGGCCAATTTCCTCGCAAAACTAAAAAATATTTAATCTCTTGAAGTTAACTTTGAAAGAAATAATATATTGAATTTAATAATCTTATTTAACGCTTGAAACAGAATAATATTACCGGTTGTCTCTGATGGCAATTTGGGTCACATTGAGATGTGTGTATTCCTTTGATTGTGCTCGCTGTACATTGAGCAATGCCGCAAACCCCGCGTGGGGAACACAGGCTTTCGGGTAGAGGATTCAAAAAACATGTTGGAAATCCTAAAAGTTATCTTTATAATAATTGTTTAAATTTTCTATTCATAGTATATATACGTTGCACGTATGTTTCTTTCTTTTTTTTTTTTTATATAAATACTTGTCTTATTTTTATCAATAAAAAAAAAAAATATGTTACAAAACCTTTTGTCTTGTACAATCCTTGACCTGCTATCGGAATGGAACAGTCGCAAGATGAAGCATTGTCGACGAGTGAAGTTATATCGCATAATCGTCTGTGAACTCTGGCACTTGTGTTTGAATATGGAGTAGCTTCGTTAAATGTGCAGTCTGTTTTCCTCAGTTTTGTCAATTCAGGTGAGCACAACTCCCAAGTGTGAAGGGTCAAACAAGGACAGTTCCCAAGAAAAAATTCACCAACTTCAGAGCTATCCAGAACTTTTGATTCGGAAGGTATGCTACGTAATTCGACGAACAACTAAATATTAAATAGAATTTGTATTGCACGAAGGTTTAAGCTTTGTTAAAAAAATTTTTTTTTGTTTCTTTCTTTTCTAATTATCGCACAGTTATTAAAATTCGTTTTTGTTTTGCGTTTTTTATACGAAATATATGTATATATATACATATATATATACATACATATATATATATATACATATACATATATATATATATATATATATATATATATATATATATATAATATGTATATATACGTATGTTCAATTAAATTGTTTGCAAGAAAGAAAGTATTTTGCACGAAATACTTTCTGCTTACAGCACAAAATCCTTCTCCGATTTCTACAAAAGCGCATTGCTGTAGATGCAATTGCCGTACCCAATGTGTTATATCATAATTCGGTGATTCGTACAAATCTTTCGATATCAATAGAAATGGATCCCAATTGCTTCCATCCACATTGACTCCGTCAACGATACGACGAGCTTTCCCACGAGAAAGAATTAATACCGTGGATAAAAACGTAATTATAAACATAGCCTAATCGTTGACATCATAGAGAGTGATAATATTACAAGATGCAAATTACAGACAAACAAATATATAATAACTTGAAGTTGTTTCGCTTTTAATATTTTATTTATATTCTATACAATGTTGTATGTTGTAAAATTTATATAAATTTCATTAAAAAAATCAAGCAAAAAGATATTCTTTCTTTTCTTTAATAATAATACAAACATAAATTATATGTTAATTTTATTTAATAGGAAATATAGTTTTATATAGTACGTCTAAGTATAATAATTTTTATATATAATTACATATAATTATATATATTTATATATAATTTTAAACTTCTTTTTAATCCTTAAAATAAATTCTTAAAAGCAATTGGAACAGAGCTAATATTTTACAATTTTTAACCAAATATAAATATATTTACAATTGTAATGTATCAGGATAACTCACGCGTTGTGTTCAGGTACAAGAAACATCACAAAAAATTTTTATTTTTATTTTGATGATGCGTAGATATTAAATTTTATATTTTATATAAACTATATATAGGTTATAAAATATTATATTATTTGAATGTTTAATTTAAAATTTGTCACAAGTATTTATTCTGGGTTTTTTTCAAGATATGTTTTTGTTAAAATGTCTATACGAAGATGTTTAAGTGTTACAAATTCTATACTTTTGCAGCCTATAACAGGACATCTGCAAATACAATATATAATTAAAATTATCATCAGACATAAATAAATTTTATTAATAAAATATTTACCTTGTTTTTTTATTAAGTTTCAATAATTGCGTAATACTTTCTCTGTCATAAGTATGACCACATATAGTATTCTTCACAGGATCTACAATTCTTTTTTTAGAAATTGGATCAATTATATTTATATAGCCTCCTGTAAGTTGTAGTTCTTCATCTGCATTATTTTCTTTCTGTACTACTCTATCTGAAATACAAATATTATTGTCAAATAATATCAATTATATATAATAATTACATATATATTTCATATTTTTTATTATTATGATTTTAAATGTACCTAATAATGCTTCTACTTGCTTATCAAATTCCTTTAGGTTATTATCATTTTCCACGTTTTTATCAATTTCAGTTATGGCTTGTTTATATTCCTAATTTTTTTTAAATATATATTATTTTTTTCATATAATTAAATATACATTTTATAATTTTCTATATTATATACTTACATTCATGGTAGTTTCAATATTATGTTCAACACTATCATCATCATCATCATTATATAAACTTAATAATCTTTTTTTTATGATCTCTGTTGATTTTAATTTTTTATTTTGAATACAGTTATTTTCTACTATATCTCTTAATTCTTTTAATTTATTCTTTCTTTCATTATCATCTATAAATGTAAAAATACAATAATATAATAATAAATAAATAAATATAAAATATGATAAATTTTTTTTATATTACTGAAATTAATGATTTAATGTTTAATGCTTATAATATGTTATGCACTAATTAATATGATTAAAAAAATATTAAAAATATTAATTTAATTCATTAACCTTATATATATATATACTTACCATAGTATGCAATAATATTAGCAGCAGTTTTTGTATAACAGTCATATAACTCTTCGATCACTTGTTGAGATTGGGTCATTTTTAACAATATTTTCTTAATAGTTTTCAAATTTTATTATCTTATATATTTAAAAAAATAATTATGTAACTATATAAATATTTTGATATTCATATAAATTATTCGTTCTAATAGCTAAACAAAATAATTCATTTATTTTAATAATTAAATAAAAAAATACTACAAATAATATATATACTCAAAAAATAAATTATTCATTTCTCTATTTCATTTATAAATTCAGATATTGAAACACTATAACCATCTAGCGGTAGAAAATTGGAACTAATCGTTAAATCAAAATCGAAAAATTATAAAATTTCTCTAGACTAAAATTTTTAATTTTTTAGATCTCATATTTAATTTCAAATCTTCAGGAATAATTTAAAATTGATTTGGTTTAAATAATATTTTTCGATTCATAATTATAAAAAACATTTGAAATTGATACAATTTATGGACACAAATCGACATCTAACGGTGAAAAGATGAAATTAACATTAAATAATAAAATTTTTTAATTTTTTAAGATTTCAAATGAAATTAAATTTCAAATTAAATTCTTATCGAATGATTTAAAATTAATTTCGTTTGAATATCATTTTTTGTTTACTAATTATAACAAACATTTGTAAATTTCACATTTGACATTTAATAATTAATTCTATTTTTTCACTGCTAGATGATAGAGTTTATTCATTGTAAATGTTTCTTATAATTTCTTAAAAAAAATAATATTCAAATGAAATTAATCTCAAATAATTTCCAAGAATTTAAAATTTAATTTGAATTTTTAAAAATTAAAAAAGTTAAAAAAGTTAAAAATTTAGTATAAAAACCAAAAAATTTTAAATTTTCGATTGTTATTTCGTGGTTAATTTTACTTATTCATTGCTAGATGGCATCTTGTGTTTATAAATTGTATATTAAAATTTATTTGCTAAATTAAAATGAAAATAATCTTTAATTATTCTTAAGAGTCTAAATTTTAATTTAAACTTGTATGAAAAAAAATTTCATTTACATATTCAAATTTGAATTTTTTGATTTTGCCATGTTCATACTTCATATATTATATTATATATATGACATTATTTATATATGCTATAACAAAAAAGAATCTTTTTATTTTCATTAATTTTATTAATTTCAACAATTGAATTGTATATAGTTCTAAATTTTTAACAATATATCGTAATGCTGGAGTATACTTCATATTTTAAGTTTCAAATGAACCTTTCAAATTACCTTGATCTACTTTCGAAAAAAAATCTTCAATTGTTTGCTATCTAGATAACTTTTCGAACATAATTATTAGATACTACAATAAACTATTAAATTTATAATTTATAATTTAAATAGATTTTGAAATGAAAATAGAAAATTTTTTGTATTTATTTTTGGTAAGTTTATTATATTATTTTATTATATTGAAATTTTTTTGACATAATTAAATATGATTCATTTTATAATATATAAACTATTAAAATCTAAAATTTTGTTTAATAAAATGTTTTAAAGAATATGTTAATATATTAATTTTTCTTAATAATTCTAATAGCAATATTGTAATTTTACATAATCATTTAAAATATATTTAAATTATTATGTATTATTTAATATACATATTGAAAAATCAAATAATTATTTATTTAGTTAAAAATGAATTACCAATAGCAGTAAATAAAATTACTACATAAATCTAGATATTTTTTCAATATTTTTTAAATAAACAACTTGTTGCATAAGTACTCCATTTTGATAAAAATGTCGTAAAAATGTTATCAATATTAGTTTGCAATTTATAATCTTATATATATATTATATATTGGTAAGAAGTAGTAAAAATCATTTATTATTATATGTGTTTATATTAAGATTATTAATGTTAATTTTTAACATTAATAATCTAATTATTATTATATATTCAAAAATGTATAGTTCCTAATATATTATTAAATATATATAAATAATTAATATAATTTAATATAATTTAATTATATTAAATTATATTAATTATTTAAATCATAATTTAATACATGTTTTTAAATTTGTCATTTGTTTATAACTATATATGTTTTTAACTAATACATGTTTTTAAATTTGTCATTTGTTTATAACTATCATTATTCACAATTGTTTTTTAGATGTTTATTAAAGTTAATTTTTCCACAACTTCTAAAATATCATATTCTTTATCCACATTAAAAAATATACAAAAATCTGTTATGATGTCTAAATTTGATCTTCCTGATCGTTTAAAAGGCAATGAAAAATCAGTATGGTAAATAATATGTAATGTATTATATCAAGAATTTTATATATGTACATATATTAAACTAATTTTATTTTAGGGTAGAGTATATTCAATTGGCTTTAAAATATAAACCTTTAGTAAATTTAGGACAAGGATTTCCAGATTTTCATGCTCCAGAAAATGTAACAAAAGCTTTAGCTGCTACAGCTACAAGTGAAAATCCTCTTTTGAATCAATATACCAGAGGATTTGTAAATATTTCAGTTTTATAACAAAATTTAATGTCACTAATAAATTCTAACTAATTTATTAATATTATTATAACATTTTTTTTTATTCTAAATTATTTTATTTATCAATTTAAAATTTATAATAAATTATATTATTTTAGGGTCATCCACGTTTAGTTAATGTTGTTGCAAAATTGTATTCTAAATTATTAAACCGTACTTTAGATCCAAATAATGAAATTCTTATAACTGCTGGTGCTTATGAAGCATTATATGCTACATTGCAAGGTCATACTAATCCTGGTGATGAGTGGATAATTATTGAACCTTTTTTTGACTGTTATGTACCTATAGTTAAGTGTGCTGGAGGAATTCCAAGATTTATTGCTTTAAAACCAGTAAGTTAATATATAAGTTAATATATGGAAATTATTAATTTATGTATAAGTTTTTTATATTTACAAAATATATTTTATATTTCAAAGAAACGCACGAATGGACCTCTTTCTTCTGCAGATTGGATATTTGATAAACAAGAATTAAAAAGTCTTTTCAATGAAAAAACAAAAGGAATAATTATTAACACTCCACACAATCCTTTGGGAAAAGTTTTTACGTTAGATGAATTACAATTCATTGCTGATTTGGCTAAAAAATGGAATACTCTTGTTGTAGCAGATGAAGTGTATGAATGGCTTGTTTATGAACCATATAAACATATTAGAATTGGTAAAGATATCTGATTATATATCATTTTTATCAAATATTTTATTTAAATAATAAATACATTTTAGCAACATTACCTGATATGTATGAGCGTACAATTACAATTGGATCTGCTGGTAAAACATTCAGTGTCACTGGATGGAAATTAGGATGGGCTTATGGTCCAGCAAATTTATTATATAACTTGCAAATTGTTCATCAAAATAGTGTATATACATGTAATACACCAATTCAAGTAATTATTGAATTATTAATTGAATATTTATAATTTTTTAGAATTATTTTTTTAATCTTTTTAATTTTTTAATTTTTTAGGAGGCTGTAGCTATTGGATTCGAACAAGAATTAGAAAGATTTGGTCAACCTGATTGTTATTTTGTTAGTTTAGCTAAAGAATTAATATCAAAACGAGATTATATGGTTAAATTTCTTAGCGATGTAGGAATGTCTCCAACAATTCCCGAAGGTGGATACTTTATGATAGCTAATTGGACAGCTTTAAAAGATAAAGTTAATTTAGAAGAAGAAACGGATGAGAATAAAGATTATCGTTTTACAAAATGGATGACGAAAAACGTTGGTGTTCAAGGAATTCCGCCATCCGCTTTTTACAGTTCCGAACATAAATATTTAGGTGAAGATAATGTGCGATACTGTTTTATAAAAGTAAGAATTAATTCGTGTACAATAAATAATATCAACATTATTATATTTTTTTCTTATTCATAATTGATTTCTTTTTTATTGTAGAAAGATGAAAATTTGAAGAAAGCAGCTGAAATTTTAATGAAGTGGAAATCTCAAGAATAATATGAATAGTATTCTTCTATTCATTTTCTTTTGTTTCTTTTTTTGGGATAAAAAAACGATTTTAATTAGTAATCATTAGTTTTCATTATATATAGTTATCATTCATTCAATTAAGTTTCATACCATATATTTCTCAGATTTTATTATAATTTTCTGTTCAATTTTATTATCAAATACAATACATAACTTTACATAAGTTTACATCACGAATAAAATTAGTAAAACCATTGTTATTTTTTTATCGTACTATTAAATATTTTTTAGAACTATTTCATTATATATCATATTTTATGGAGAGAAATCAGCACGAAGCCATCTTTTTGCATCTTTAGTGTCAGCACCAAAAGTTTTACCAAATCTAAATACAATATTTAATATTTAAATAAAAGGGAATTTTGAAGCATATATAATGTGTTTCATTTGAATATTCTTTATATCTTTTTATGTTTTCCGAAATGCTTTATAAGGAAATTAGAATGATTACTTAAAAATTATTAAATATTATTTACCTGAACGTTTCCCCAGGAACATGTCCAAGATAATTTGGAAGCATACCAACATGTTTGTGATATATAGCGGTGGGTTGGATTACAAGCGGTGGATCAGGCCGTGAAATCGTAACTGGTGCCCATTCTGTACTTTGCCTCTTACGATAATCGGATGTAAAATCGCAAAGAGCACTGTTGGTAGCAGGAATATTTGATTTTCCAAAATGTGCATATCCGTATGGAATGTGGCCCGCATATCCTATAAATACACAATTAAATATTTATAATTCGATATTGCAAAGAAAAATTCTCAATATTCTCGTCTTCAACTCCTTTCGCACTCACTTCTTTTATTTTCTCGAATTAAGGAATATCGCATTCGTTGTTCGCTATCCGTAAGATCCATCTGTACTCTATTACTATACTCTATTTATTGTTAATATAATCTTAAATATTCGACATCTTTTTATATTGTATGCTCATTGATCAATTTATTTTGTTAATAATATATCGAAATTATGAAGTTTCGTCGTTCATTAAACATTTCGATAAACAGTTGAATCTTACGTTATATCGCTTACGTAATTTTTAACACTATGGGATTATTCGAAGGCAAGTTCAAGCCAATA